CATGAGTCCAGGTTTGTTCATTGTTTGGCAACACTCAGGCCTGCGCAGGTGCTTGTAAAATGAACATTTATTTGAAAGGTAGAATTACAGAGCAGGGGGCACAGACAGATCTACGTCTGCTGGGCCAGGCTGCAGCCAGGGGTCTCCCACGTCTGGTAGGAGCATCTTCTGCTTTCCCAGGCACATGGCAGGGAGCGCGATTGGAACTGGAGTCCAGGCTGGAACCTGCACTCATGCTATGCTGGTGTCGCGAGTGGCGGCTTCACGTGCTGCACTGCAGTGCTGGCCCCTTCTCTGAAACGGTTTTGCCTTTTTTTTTTTTTTTTTTTTGACAGTGGACAGTGAGAGAGACAGAAAGGTCTTCCTTTTCTGTTGGTTCACCCTCCAATGGTCGCTGCGGCCGGCGCACTTGCGCTGATACGAAGGCAGGAGCCAGGTGCTTCTCCTGGTCTCCCATGGGGTGCAGGGCCCAAGCACTTGGGCCATCCTCCACTGCACTCCCTGGCCACAGCAGAGAGCTGGCCTGGAAGAGTGGCAACCAGGACAGAATCCGGCACTCCGACTGGGACTAGAACCCGGTGTGCCGGAGCCACTAGGCGGAGGATTAGTCTAGTGAGCCGTGGCGCCGGCCCTGCTTCGTTTTTTTCCTTTAAAACTTTTTATTTGAAAGGTAGAGTTGGAGAAAGATCTTCCATCCACAGGTTTGCTCCCCAGGTGGCTGCAATGGCTGGAGCTGGGCCAGTTGGAAGCTAGGAGCTTCCGGGTTTCCCATGTGGGCACAGGGGCCCAAGCACTAGGGCCATCCTTTGTTGCTTTCCCCGGCACGTTTGCAGGGAGCTGGATTGGAAGAAGAGCAGCTGGGACTCAAACTGGTGTCCATATGGGATGCCGGCATAACATGTGGCAACTTTACCTGCTGTGACCCCTCTGCAGACTTTAGATCAGTTCGTGTCCTAGGTGGTGTGGGTGAGGGCCTTGGCTCCCCTAAGAACTCAGAAGGTGCAAGGAGCTCCTGGAGCTGGGGGGTGGGGCCTTTGCTTTGGCAGTGCTATAGGTCCTTACTGGTATGTGTGTGCTGAGAGGGGTTAGCACAGGGCTGGGGTGGGGCGCGAGCACTGGCAGGGCTCAGCCGGGGGGATGCTCTCAGTGACTTGGGCCCTGTGGTGCTGGGAAGCGTGTGGTAACACCCCTGAAGTGCCCGGTTTCCCCAACAGGTGTGGTGGCTGGAGGTGGCCGCATTGACAAGCCCATTTTGAAGGCTGGCCGTGCCTACCACAAATATAAGGCAAAGAGGAACTGCTGGCCACGTGTGCGGGGTGTGGCCATGAATGTAAGTAACCCAGAAATAAGGTTGGGTGGGGGTGGACAGTCCTTTCTGGGGGGTGCCCACAGTGGGAGGCGCTGGGTGGTGGTTTGTGCGGCCCCCCAGGTGCAGCCACCTGTGCTAACACTGTCTTCTGCCTGCAGCCTGTGGAACATCCTTTTGGAGGTGGCAACCACCAGCATATAGGCAAACCCTCTACTATCCGCAGGGATGCCCCTGCTGGTCGCAAAGTGGGTCTCATCGCTGCCCGCAGGACAGGGCGCCTCCGTGGAACCAAGACTGTACAGGAGAAAGAGAACTAGGGGTGACGGGCTCAATAAAGTTTGCCCTTCTACCACCTGGCTGTGCACCTCTGCTGTGAGAGGGAAGGCTTCCGGAGCCTCTGGGTTCACAGATAAGGAAACTGGAGTAGACCCCTGGAAGCTTCGAAGGGAGAGTGCCCTGGGCCGGGGCTTCCTCCCGACACAAGGGACCCAGCACGCTGGACCTGTGATCTGTAGTGTGTGCAGTCCTGAGTCTGGTGCCTTGTGTGGCATCCAGGCATGTGTCCCTGGATCACGGCTGAAAGCACACTGCCCTCAGGTGGTGGGGGCTCCCGCAGGTGACAAGCTAGCAGTGGTTCCTGACTTGCTCAGAGAGCTTGGGGTTGGGGTCCTGCTCAGGAGGGTTTGGCCTGGTGCCACCGTCCACTCGATCATCTCACCTATGAGCCTTTAGGAGCAGGCTGAAGCTGACATTGCACAGGACTGCATCCCATGGTGGTACTGAGTGAGGGGTCACTGCTGGGCCGTTCTTGACATCCAAGCTGATGGTGATGTGATTCTGGGTGTCCAGGTCCCAATCCTGTGCATAATGGGATTGCTGGCCCTTTTGCTGAACACAGATTTTTTTTTTTTTAAAGATAACACTGTAAGATTTTGTTTGAGAGGGAGAGCTGAGAGAAAGGTCTTCCACACCCCAATGGCTGCGGTGCCTGGAGCCGTGCTGGTTGGGAGCCAGGATCTGCTTCAGGTCTCACATAGGTGCAGGGGCCCGAGCACTTGGGCCATCTTCCACTGCCTTCCCAAGTCAGTGGAGAGCTGGATCGGAAGTGGAGCACCAGGGACTTGATCTGGCACACATATGGAATGCTGCTGCCACAGGTTGGGGCTTAGCCTGCTGTGCCACAGCACTGCCCCTCAGAGATGGGTTCTTCAGGTGCATGTACTGTGGGTGCCAGATCACCTGAGAGCTGGCCTCTGCCTAGAACTGGAGGCACAGGCGCTGGCTGGCACGTGATCCTGAGCGAAGCCTGCGGGGAACAGAGGCCCCAGATCTGCACTATCAGTGAAGTGACTCCCAATTGGCTGACCGTGGGAGGGAAGGCGGGTAGACGTCAGGTAGCACAACAAGCAGGCCCTAACCTTAGCCTCAACCTGAGCAGGGCCTGTAGGTAGCTGTGCGGGGTGGCCTGAGGTGGGTGGATGGCAGGAGATTCTGGGGGTGGGGGTGGTGTCAAGTCCTCGCGGTGTGGGCTCACCTGTGGCTGGGCTCCCTGCTGCAACCAGGTTGTTGGGAAGGGACAGAAGGCTGCTCCCAGGCAAGGTGGGTTCCGGAGCTGTGTAGGAATCCAAGGGCCCTTCTCTAGCTTGGACACTGCGCTGCATTTGCAGTGGTCAGGTGTTGGAGGTAGTGGGCTGAACACTCACACACTGGCCAGTAACCTCTTGGCCCTGAGAGGTGTTCCTGCTGCCCGACCTTCGTGCCTTCCTGGCTCACCGGAGAGGGAGTTCTCAGGGTTCCCGGGATTGTGACCCGTGGAGCGGGTCACCCAGTCCGGACGGAGCCTCGGCGTCGTGGCCTCGGACCGCCGCTCGATGGGGCAACCGAGACGCGCAGCCCGCTTCCTAGAGCGGCTGGGGCGCGCGGCCTGGCGTCAGTTCCGGCTCGGCTCTGATTGGCTGGCCGGGCCTGCGGTGGGCGCCGCTGCGGCGAGTGTGGGAGCGGCCGGGGCGCGGGGGACTGCGGCGCCTGCGATCCGTAGCCCCTAGGGTCGTGGACCGGCCGCATTCTCCGCCCTGGGCCCGCCGGGCCCCCCGTCCCCAGGGTCGTGGGCCGGCCGCATTCTCCCCGAGCAGCTCCGCGCCCGTGCCCGCCGCGGCCCCCGGCTCCCCGCTCCCGCTGTCGGCGTCGCCGGGCGCTGGGCCCTGCTCTTCACCGGCCTTCCAAGACTTCGCTCCTCTTCAAGGTCTGAAGCCTGCTTATTTGCCCCATCATCTTGTGCTTTTCGATACGTATTTTAAGAAAATGAGTAAATTTTAAAAGAAAGTACAGACATGAACATCAGCGACTGGGATTGCCAGTTCTCGTTTTGCACTTTTAAGAAATAAAGCGTTGTTGAAGTGAAATCACTCCGTCCTGTTGCTTCCTGACAGCCTCCCTTGGGCTCATCTCGCTTCCACGCGTCATGCGTGGGTGTTGGGCCCATTTTCTCATCCACGGGATGCTCTGTACCTGAGGACGGCGTTGATGTCGCTCGTTCCTTCACTGCGGTGGCCTTGCCCAGCCCTCTGATGGACGTTGAGTCGTTTTTCTTGTTGAAGGTTTAGTACAGTCAAAGCGACAGAGAGGTAGAGACAGGCAGTCAGGCAGTCCGCTGGCTCGTTCTCCAATGGTTGCAATAACCAGGTCTGGACCAGGCCGAAGCCAGAAGCGAGGAACTCCGTCTGGGTCTTGAACCCACGTCCTTTGGCTGTCTCCTGCTGCTTCTCAGGCACATTAGCCAGAAGCTGTATCGGAACCAGAGCAGCCGGGACTCAAACTGCCACTCTGATACTGGTGCTGGTGCCACCCGCTGTCCCACGCCAGCCCCAGGGCTTTTTCTTAGGTAGAGCTGGGCATGGGTGCAGGAGCGAGAATTTCTGTGACACCTGCTTAGAACTGAGTTCCTGATAGGTTTCCCAGGTGACTGCACCCGTTTATCGGGGGCGCTTTTTTGTTTGTTTGTTTTTTAAGATTTGTTTATTGGAAAGGCAGAAATAGAGAGAGAGGGTTTCCATCTGCTGGTTCACTTTCCAAATGGCCACAACGGGCAGGGCTGCGCCAGGCTGAAGCCAGGAGCCTGGAGTGTCTTCTGCTTGGGCCCTTGCACCATCCTCCACTGCCCTCCCAGGTGCATTAGCAGGGAGCTGGATTGGAAGTGGTGCAGCCAGGACTGAACCTGCACCCATGTGGGAGAGGCTTAGCCTGTGCCAGAGTGCCAGCCTCTGTCTTGCACTCTGAAATCTCCATGTTTCCTCATGTTTTCAACATGTCTTACATGTTTTACTTTTCATTTCTTTAATTCTTAATGATACCGAAACTCTTCAGATGTTTGATATCTTTATTTGTGATTTACCAGGCCAAAATTTGCATTCTTTATTTTTTTAAAGATTTATGTGGGGGCTGGTGCTATGGCGGAGTGGGTAAAGCCGCCACCTGCAGCGGCAGCATCCCGTATGGGCGCCGGTTTGAGTCCCAGCTGCTCCACTTCCGATCCAGATCTCTGTTATGGCCTGGGAAAGCAGTAGTAGATGGTCCTTGGGCTCCTGCACCTGTGTGGGAAACCTGGAGGAGGCTCCTGGCTTCAGGCTTTGGATTTGCACAGCTCTGGCCATTGCAGCTATCTGGGGAGTGAACCAGCAGATGGAAGACCTATCTCTTTGTCTTTGCCTCTCTGTAGCTCTGCCTTTCAAATAAATTTAAAAAAATATATTTGTTTATTTGAAAGGATGAGTTAACAGAGAGGCAGAGGCAGAGAGAGAGGTCTTCGACCAGCTGGTTCACTCCCCAGATGGCCACAACGGCTGGAGCTGCACCAGTCTGGGGCCAGGAGCCTCTTCCTGGTCTCTCACACAGGTGCAGGGGCCCAAGGACTACTGCTTTCCCAGGCCACAGCAGAGAGCTGGATTGAAGTGGAGCAGCTGGGACTCAAACCGGCACCTCTTTGGGATGTCAGCACTGCAGGTGGCGGCTTTACCCACTATGCCACAGCACTGGCCCCTGCATTTTTATTTTTGAGTGGCTTTTTTCTTTTTAAGATTCTTTTTATATTCTGCATATTTATCTTTTGTTACATATGTCTGTAAAATCTCTCATTCTGTCACTTTTAATTTTCTGGTATCTGAGGCTTTTTGCAGGGGGCCGGAGTCATTCTTTCCTTGTATTAGACTTTTTGTTTTGTTTGAACATTTAGGTCTCCAGCCTCCCTGAAATATGATTTTCAGTGCAGTGCCATGGAAATCATGGCTCTAGTTTTGCTTCCCTTGGAAACCTGTGTGAACACTGTGCCTCCTCTTCACTGCCACTGACTCTGATTTGTCTGTGCGTCTTCCATCATCCGTTTTCCCATGCTGGCACTTCACTTTTTTTTTTTTTTTTTTAAGATTTATTTATTTATTTGAGAGGCAGAGAGAGAGAGAGAGCGAGAGAGAGGTCTTCCATCTGCTGGTTCACTCCCCAAATGGTCACAACAGGCCAGGAGCCTGGAGCTTTTTCCAGGTCTCCCAGGTGGGTGCAGGGGCCATTTTCCACTGCTTTCCCAGGTGCATTAGCAGGGAGCTGGATCGGAAGTGGAGCAGCTGGGCTCACACTGGTGCCCATATGAGATGCCCGTGCCACAGGCCAGGGCTTCACCTGCTGTGCCACAGCGCTGGCCGCTGCACTTCACTTTTCGTTTCCGGAGCCTAGGTCTTGATATCTGGTAGGGCACATCCTGCCTCCCTTGTTCCTGTTTTGGTGTTGCCCTGGTTAATCAGATCATTCTTTTTTTCTTGTTTATTTGAGGGGCAGACACACACACACACACAGGGAGAAAGGGAGAGGGAGAGAGAGCCCATGTGCTGATCCTGTCTTCAGATGCCTGCAACAGCCTGGGACTGGAGTGAGCGGAAGCCTGGACCTGGGCATGCATTCCAGGTCCACGTGAGGACAGGACTCCAATTACTTGGGTCATTGCCACTGCCTCCTAGGGTCTGTATGAACAGAAAGCTGGAGCTATGTGGAGTGTCAAACCCAAATACTCTGTAGTATGTGGGCATCTTTACTGGTGTCTTAGCTGCTGGGCTAAAGGCCTGCCTCTTGTTATTACTTATTTTTATTACTTCTTTTCACCTTATCTGACGGACAAAGAGAAACAGATCTATGCTTTGGTTTACTTCTGAAATGCCTGTAGCAGCCAGGGCTGGGCCAGCCAAAACTTCATCCAGCTCCCCTGTTGGTGGCAACAGCCCAGGTTCTTGAGTCATCACCTGCTGCCTCCCACGCCCAGTGCACACTAGCAGGAAGCTGGATCAGGACCCAGACCAGGCACTCCAGTCAGGGACTCGGGTGTCCCAAGTGGCTTTTTAACTAGTGCCAAACACCCATCCTCTGGGTCATTATTTTTTCATATGATTTTTTTTTAAAAAGATTTTATTTATTTACTTGAGAGGTAGAGTTACAATGAGAGGGAGAGGCAGAGAGAAAGGTTTTCCCTCCGCTGGTTCACTCCCCAAATGCCCGCAACGGCTGGAACTGTGCCAATCCGAAGCCAGGAGCCAGGTGCTTATTCCGGGTCTCCCATGCAGGTGCAGGGGCCCAAGGACTTGGGCCATCCTCCACTGCCTTCCCGGGCCATAGCAGGGAGCTGGATCAGAAGTGGAGCAGAAAGGGCGTGAACCAGCATCCATATGGGATGCCGGTGCTGCAGGCAGAGGATTAAGCTACTGCGCCATGGCGCCGGCCCCTTTTCATATGATATTTTAAAGTCATTTTGGTCAGGTTTCACATGTCCTGTAATTTTTATTCTAATTACCCAGAATAGGTTAATTTGGGGAACACTGATATCTTTATGATGTGTAGTCCCTCTATTTATAAATATGTTTCTCCATAGGTCTTTTTAAAATCCTTCATTGAAGTTTATAGTTTGGTCTGACATATCAGTTATTTATATTTTTTTAAAGATTTATTTACTTTCTTTGAAAGAGTTACAGAGCAGAAGAGAGAAATTTTCCATCCACTGGTTCATTCCCCAAATGGCAGCAACAGCCAGCGCTGAGCCAGGCTGAAGCCAGGAGCTTGGAGCTCCATCAGGGTCTCCCACACGGGGGCAGAGGCCCACGCACTTGGGCATCCCCCACTGCTTTCCCAGGCCACAGCAGGGAGCTGGTCGGAAGTGGAGCAGCGGGACTTGGACTGGTGCCTGCATGGGATGCCGGCATCACAGCCAGCGGCTTAACCCACTACAGCACCGTGCCAGTCCCTGGGTTATTTTTTGTTAGACTTTTTCTTAGTTACTATGTAATTTTTGTAGCTGTTGTAAATGTGGCTTTTGCTTGTTGATTTCTAGTCTATGGAATTGATATTGATTAGTCTGTGTTGACCTTATACGTGCAATGCTGTTGAGCTCATTTTGACAATGAATTGATACTCTTGAATTTTCTATACAGTTCACTTTATCATTCTCTCTTTTTTTAAGATTTATTTATTTATTTGAAAGTCAGAGTTACACAGAGAGACAAAGAGAGAGAGAGGTCTCCCATCTGCTGGTTCTCTCCCCAATTGGCCACTACGGCCGGTGCTGTGCTGATCAGAAGCCAGAAGCCAGGAACTTCCTCTGGGTCTCCCACGCGGGTGCAGGGGCCCAGGACTTGGGCCATCTTCTACTGCTTTCCCAGGCCACAGCAGAGAGCTGGATCAGAAGTGGAGCAGCTGGGATTCGAACTGGTGCCCATATGGGATGCCAGCGCTGCAGGTGATGGCTTTACCCGCTACACCACAGCGCCGGCCCCTCACGTGGCATCTTAACTGCTGTGCCAGACACATGCCCCCATATGTATATTTTATCATTAACATTTTCTTTTAAATTAAAAACATTATTTAAAATAATTTATTTGAAAATCTGCTAGTTCACTCCCCAGTTGCTTGCAACAGCTGGAACTGGGATAGGCTGAAGTCAGGAACCTAGAGCTCCATCCAGGTCTCCCACAGTCCGTGAGCCATCACCTGCTGCCTCCTAGGGTGCACGTGAGCAGGAAGCTGGGATCAGAAGCAGAGCCAGGGAACCCAGACCCTCTGGTAGGGGCTGTGGGTGTCCCAACCTTTGTCTTAACCACTGAGCCAGAGCCATTCCTCATTAGCATTTTAAAGAACCATTGTGGAGATTAAAAAAAAAAATTTTTTTTTTTAACAGGCAGAGTGGACAGTGAGAGAGAGAGACAGAGAGAAAGGTCTTCCTTTGCCGTTGGTTCACCCCTCAATGGCCGCTGCAGCTGGTGCGCTGCGGCCAGTGCACTGCGCTGATCCGATGGCAGGAGCCAGGTACTTATCCTGGTCTCCCATGGGGTGCAGGGCCCAAGGACTTGGGCCATCCTCCACTGCCTTCTTGGGCCACAGCAGAGAGGAGCAACCGGGACTAGAACCCAGGGTGCTGGCACCGTAGGCGGAGGATTTAGCCTAGTGAACCGTGGCGCTGGCCAGCAAGTTTTTGTTTCTTTAAATTGTATTTTCTTTATGCTCTTTTCCCCCTTGAATTACTTATTCTCTGCTTGGTTTCCACTTAATGTTTAGGTCACATATTTCCTTCTCTCGTAACATAAGCACATTAAAGCTGCACATTTTCTTTAGGTGCCTTCTTTGGATCCATTTCCACCTGTTTCCATCTGTGTATGTGTGTGAGTGTGTGTTGTGTATGTATGTAGTGCATATGTGTGTATGTTTGTGTATGTGTGTAATATGTGGATACATGTGCAGCATACATATCACATGTGCATATGTACAGTGTTATATGTATGCATACATGTGTATGTGTGCAGCATGCATGTTACATATGTGGGTGTGTGTTACATATGTGTGTAGTATATATGTGTGCAGTGTGTATGTTACATATTTGAGTATATGCATAGGTGTGCATTACATCTGTGAGTGTGTATATATGTGTATGCAGCATGTATCTTCTATATGTATATTTGTGTGTATGTGCAGCTTGTATGTTATATATGTGTATCAGTGTGCATGTGTGCAGCATGTATGTGTATATGCGTGTATGTGTGTACATGTGCAGTGTGCAATGTGCATGTTATATAAGTGGGCATGTGTATATGGGTATGTGTGTACATGTGTATTGTGCAGTGTTATATGTGTGGGTGCGTGTATATGCATGCATGTATGTGTGCATGCACGTGTGTACCTGTGTATGTATGCACTGTGTATTTTTTTTTTTGACAGGCAGAGTTAGAGAGAGAGTCAGAGAGAAAGGTCTTCCTTCCGTTGGTTCACCCCACAAATGGCCGCCACAGCCAGCGCACTGCGCTGATCCGAAGCCAGGAGCCAGGTGCCTCCTCCTGGTCTCCCATGCGGGTGCAGGGGCCCAAGGACTTGGGCCATCCTCCACTGCACTCCTGGGCCACAGCAGAGAGCTGGACTGGAAGAGGAGCAACCGGGACAGAACCAGCGCCCCAACTGGGACTAGAACCCAGGGTGCCGGCGCCGCAGGTGGAGGATTAGCCTAGTGAGCCGCGGCGCCGACCTGCACTGTGTATTTTATATATGTGTATGCTTGTGTCTGTATGTGTGTACATGTGTGTGAATGTATGTTATATATGCGTATGTGTGTATGCATGTCCGTGTGTATATGTGTGTGTGTGTGTGTGTGTGCACATGTGCTGTTTCCAAGGTGTGTGCAGTTGATCATCTATTGAGTTGTGTTCTCAGGGCTTGCTGACTTTTCTCTGTAAATTTCATACTTCAATTAAAAACATTCAAGGTTCAGAAGAGGTATGTACCACACAGCTTTGTTTTTATTAGCATTTGTCTCATCTGTCTTTTCTATATTCAGCTTTTCTATGCTGTTTGGTTTTAGGACAGATAAGTGTATCGTGTGCATCTTACCACAGAGTCGTGCATACCTGGTGGGTGAGTTCAACTCATTTATTACCATTACTCATCTGTTTGGGTTTGTTTCTATTAGTCTTGTGATTTTTATATTCTATGCATTGTCTTTGCTCTTTGTCTTCTATTGTGTGGATTTGTTTTTCACTTTTATTTGAAAGACAGAGAGACATGAGACAGAAGGACAGAGACTTCCCATGTGCTTGATCACTCCTCAGGTGCTTACAGTTGCCAGGTCTGGGCCGGGTTGAAGCCACAAGCCCAGAACTTAATCTAGGTCTCCCACAGGAGGCAGAGTATCTAGTCCGTGGGCCATCACCTGCTGCCTCCCAGGGTCTGCATTAGCAAGGAAGCTGGAATTGGAAGTGAGCTGAGACTGGAACCCAGGCACCCTGGATTAGGATGCAAAGTCCCAAGCAGCAGCTTAATAGTTGTGCCAAATGCCTGCTCCTATTGTGTGTATTATTTTTCTTTTCTAAGATTTTATTTATTTATTTGAAGGCTGTTACAGAGAGGCAGAGGCAGAGGCAGAGAGAGAGAGAGAGAGGGAGGAGAGATCTTCCATTTGCTGATTCACTTCCCAGATAGAGCTGAGCTGATGTGAAACCAGGAACCAGGAGCTTCTTCCTGATTTCCCACACGAGTGCAGGGGCCCAATGACTTGAGCCATCTTCCACTGCTTTCCCAGGACATAGCAGAAAGCTGGATGGGCAGTGGAGCAGCCAGGACTCAAACTGGCACCCATATGGGATGCTGGCACTGCAGGCGGCGGCTTTATCTGCTATACCACAGTGCCAGCCCCCATTGTGTGTGTTTTAAAAAATTTATTATTTATTGAAAGGCAGAGAGAGGGAGGCACACACACACACTTTCATGTGCTGGTTCATTCCCCAAATGTCTACAGCAGCTGGGGCTGGGCCAGGCTGAAGCCAGGAGCCAGGAGCCAGGAGCTGCATGTGCACCCCAACATGGGTAGCAGGGGCCCAAGTAGTTGTGCTGTCATCCACTGCCTTCCCTGGTACATCAACAGGAAACTGGGTTGAAAGTGCCTGGCGCTCTGGTCAGAGATTTGGGTGTCCCAAGCAATGGCTTCACCCTCAGCTTCACAGTGCCTGTCCCTAGGAAACCTGCTTTTCTTTTTCTTTTTCTTTTTTTTAAGATTTATTTTATTTATTTGAAAGACAGTTACAGAGAGAGGTAGATACACACACACACACACACAGAGGTCCTCCATTCACTGGTTCACTCCCCAAATGGCTGCAACGGCCAGAGCTGAGCCGATCTGAAGCCAGGAGCCAGGAGCTTTTTCCAGGTCTCCCACGTGGGTGCAGGGGCCCAACCACTTGGGCCATCTTCTACTGCTTTCCCAGGCCATAGCAGGGAGCTAGATAGGAAGTGGTGCAGCCAGGACTTGAACCACTGCCCATATGGGATGCCAGCATTTTAACCCGCTGTGCCACAGCACCAGCCCCAAAGCCTCTTTTTATTTCTTAGCACCTAACATTTTATCTTTGCTCTTCCATGAAAATGAGTCTCGGCCGGCGCCTTGGCTCAATAGGCTAATCCTCCACCTAGCGGCGCTGGCACACCGGGTTCTAGTCCCGGTCGGGGCGCTGGATTCTGTCCCGGTTGCTCCTCTTCCAGGCCAGCTCTCTGCTGTGGCCCGGGAGTGCAGTGGAGGATGGCCCAAGTGCTTGGGCCCTGCACCCCATGGGAGACCAGGAGAAGTACCTGGCTCCTGCCTTTGGATCAGCGCGGTGCGCCGGCCGCAGCACGCCAGCCGTTGCGGCCATTGGAGTGTGAACCAACGGCAAAAGGAAGACCTTCCTTTCTGTCTTTCTCACTGTCCACTCTGCCTGTCAAAAAAAAAAAAAAAAAAAAAAAAAAAAAGTCTCGTCATCTACCTGCTGAATGAGACAACGCGGGGTACCGGGTGGAGGGTTAATAGATGACTGGCAGGTTGCCTGTCCACAAGGTGGGCAGTGGGGCCGGGGCTGGGGAGGGCAGCCCTAGGTGGGAGGCCAGTGGCGCGAGTCGCGATGGCCAGGGGCCTCGGCCGTTGCAGGGGTGGCAGGCTGGGCCGTTTGTGCAGCACCAAGGGCCCTGAGATTGCAGGACGGGACCTGACGAGGCCTCTCTGTGCCCCTCCCTCTTCCCTCAGCACCAAACGAAGGCTGTGCCCCTCCCTCCTCCCTCAGCACCGAGCGAAGGCTCTCGCCCGCTGCCCCGGGGGATGGCGGCCCTGTTCCCATCTGCCCCGCCCCAGGTGAGTATCTGCCTTTCTGATTTTCCAGGGACTCCACCTGGGGCTTTGCGGGGCAAACCCTGACACCAGAGGAGGGTGACCCTGCATGCCCCTGCCACTGCCCGCTGTGGCCACTCCGGCTCCTCTGGGACTAGTAGGCACCTGTTGTTCCAGGCAGAGGTGACCTTTGAGGATGTGGCTGTCCTCCTTTCCCAGGAGGAGTGGGGCTGTCTGGGCCCTGCTCAGAGGGGCCTGTACCGGGATGTGATGCTGGAGACCTACAAGAACCTGATCTCACTGGGTAAGGCCCACCACTGGGACCCGGCTCCTGGAATACCTCTGGGGACTGACGGCTCAGCAGGAACTGGGCTGGGGGCCTCATCCCTGGGCTCAGAGACATGTGCCCGAGCAGACCTGGTCTCTGAAGAGGAGAGGGTGTGAGGTGCAGGGACGCCCCCGCCCCCCGAGTCAGCCCCCATCCTTGTGACCACCCCTAGCCCAACCTCAGCCCCTGCAGAGGGCATCCGGGGTTCCTACACCACCTTCCTCTCCCCTGCAGCCCCAGAGCAAGATAGCTCTCAGTGCAGCCTTGCGTCCTTGATGCCATCCTCCGGCCCTGTCTCCTTCCAGGAACAGGTCCTGCAGGTCCCAAGCCTGGGGTGATCTCGCAGCTGGAGCGAGGAGACGTGCCATGGGTCCTGGACCTGCGGGGCTCTGTGGGGCAGAAGCGCCCGGGAGCCAGCGGCTCAGTGTGTGAGTGGAACTGTCCCCCTCCCCCACCAGCCCTTGAGCAGTGTTTGGTTACTGACCCGAGACTTGAGTACAGGAGGCCTGAGAGTGGCCTCTGCTGAAGCCCCGGGCAGCTCAGAGGGGAGGTCTGGGAAGGTGGGGTGGGGCGGTGTCACAGAGGAGAATGCCCAGGAGTGTTGCACACAGCCAGTTCCGAGAAGGCTGAGTTGGTGCCAGCTGCAGGCAGAGAAGAGAGATGTGGGCCTGTGGGTCACAGTCGCTCTCTCAGCTGAGGGCAGTGCTGATGGTCATCTTCCTGCGTGTTTCTCGTGAGGTCCTAGAGAGGGTCTTCTGGCTCAGAATATCGGAATTTTTCTTTTCTATATAGCTTAGAGAAATTTTACAAAAAAAATCCTCCTGATCGCAATATAGATGATGTCCAGCTCCCCACAAGTCCTAGGCCCTTCGGTTGCTTTCCTGCTGCCCATGGGGTCTTTCTGGTTGCTTGGCCCTTTGGGTGGTCTGTGTGGACTCTTGCACGGCATCTCTTTTATGTTTTATTTATTTTCATTTACTTGCTAGGCAGGGTGACAGAGATAGGGAGAGAGGCCATCCGTCTGCTGGTTCACTCCCCGAATGCCTGCAACATCCGAGCTGGGCCAGGCCTAAGCCCGGAGCCTGAGCTCCATCTGTGTCTCTCTCATGGGGTGAGCAAGGTCCGAGCGTTTGAGCCATCGTCTGCTGCTCCCAGGAAAGCTGGATTGGAAGTGGAGAACCTGGCGCTCTGATGTGGGATGCATGCATCACAAGCAGTGGCTTAACCTGCTTCTTAATGCCCACCCCAACAAGGCATCTGTTTTGCTTTGTTTTAAAAATTTATTTGTTGGGACCAGCGCTGTGGCATCGTGGGTTAAGTATCCTCTTGCGGCGCTGGCATCCCATAGGGATGCCGGTTCTATTTCCAGTCCAGCTCCCTGCTAATGCACCTGGGAAGGCAGTGGAAGATGGCTTGAGTGCTTGGGCCCTTGTACCTGCTTGGGGGACCAGGAAGAAGCTCCTGGATTCTGGCTTCGGATTGGCCCAGCTCTGGCCATTGCAGCCGTTTGGGGAGTGAACCAGAGGATGGAAGACCTCTCTCTGTCTCTCCCTTACTCTGTCTGTAACTCTGCCTTTCAAATAAAGAAACAAAAGATTTATTTTTTTTATTTGAAAGGCAGAATTAGAGAAGGAAAGATAGAGCGAGAGAGATCTTCCATCCACTCGTGGCTGCAATAGCAGGGTCTGGGCCATGCCACATCCCGGAACCAGGAGCTCCAAGCACTTGGACCATCATCAGCTGCTTTCTCAGGTGCGTTGGTAGGGAGCTAGATTGGAAGTGGAGTACCTAGGACTTGAACTGGCATCCACGTGGGATGCAGACATCATAGACAGCAGCTTAACTTGCTGTGTGTGCCACAGCTCCGGCCCCACCAGTGCGTCTTTGGTGAGTGTTGTCACTGTTTACTGGACACCGTCCAGTCTGTGTTGCTGCCAGTGCCCCATCACGCTCATACAGCATAGTTCATTTTTGCTTCTGCTTGTGATGGCCACGTGGCGTCTCCAGTCAGGTTGGGCAGGAACTGCTGTCAGTGTTGTGCTTGCTCCCCTGACACACAGAGAAGCCTCTGGTGGGTGGGCTGCCCGCCTGAGAGAGGGGTCGTCAGACGCTGCTCAGCGCCAGCCCACACTGCCGGTCCTCCTGGTTTTCCTGCCGTGGATTGTGGGGTGGCCTTAGACTCACCTGGCTCAGGTGCTTTGTCTGTCAGATGTCCTCTGTGAATTTTGGGGTCCTTCCTTTTTTAAAAAAGATTTATTTATTTATTTATTTTAAAGATTTATTTTATTTATTTGAAAGTCAGAGTTACACAGAGAGAGAAGGAGAAAGAGAGAGAGAGAGAGAGAGAGAGAGAGAGAGGTCTTCCATCCACTGGTTCACTCCCCAGATGGCCACAATGGCTGGAGCTGTGCTGATCCAAAGCCAGGAGCCAGGAGCTTCTTCCAGGTCTCCCATGTGGGTGCAGGGGCCCAAGGACTTGGGCCATCTTCTAATGCTTTCCCAGGCCACAGCAGAGAGCTGGATCGGAAGAGGAGCAGCCAGGACAAGAACCGGCGCCCATATGGGATGCCGCTGCTTCAGGCCAGCGCTTTAAGCCACTGCGCCACAGCACCGGCCCCGGATCCTGCCCTGTTCTGTTTCCCATGAGCTGTGAAGTCTGTGACTTCTGTCCCTTTGGCGTAGCAAGGACAGGTGTCCTGTAGTCCCACACAGGCGGCCAGGGAGAGCGTGAAAGGGGGCTGGTCTGGCTCTGGCACTGCCACGTGACTGTGGCCCTTGGGGAGGTCCTTCAGTCTCTGAGCTGTAGGCTTTCTGCTCTCCACCGCTCCTGGTACTTTTGGAGATGACCCAGCTGGTCAGCAGCCTCTCTGCCTCCCTCCCAGTGCCTGACCAATGACTGCTAGCTTTCTGCTTGTTGTTGCAGCTCGTGGGGCCAGGGCTGCGTATAAGGAGCTGACTTCAGGAGAGACGTTTAACAGGAAAGAACTGGATGGACTCACTCCACGAGGACGGGAGCCAGGAGGGGCCCATGACCATGCCAGAGAGATGGAGCAGGACCTGGACAGACCAGTGGGTCAGAGAGGCCCCATGCCGGTCACACTGCCCGACAAGGAGCATAGCCGGGAATCTGGGGAGAGCCTCGCATTGGGTGCGAGCCCTGTCCTTGGTCAGAGACCTCATCAGTGTGACGTATGTGAGCAGAGTTTTGAACAGAGGTCATACCTCAATAACCATAAGCGTGTACATAGGTCAAAGAAACCAAGTACAGCTCGGGCCCCTGGGGAAGCCATCGGTGCTTGCGTGCTTGTTCAAGATCAGGGACTGCCCGGCGGGAGGAGGCTGCACTGCTGCGGCTGCTGTGGGAAGGCCTTCCGGTACAGCGCCAACCTCGCCAAGCACCAGCGGCTGCACAGCGACGAGAAGCCCTACAAGTGCGGCGAGTGCGGGAAGGCCTTCAGCCAGAGCTGTGAGTTCATCACCCACCGCAGGATGCACTCAGGCGAGGTCCCCTATCGCTGCGAGGAGTGTGGGAAGACGTTCAACCAGAGGCCCAACCTCATGAAGCACCAGAGGATTCACACTGGGGAGAAGCCCTACAAGTGTGGCGAGTGCGGGAAGCACTTCAGCGCCTACTCTTCCCTTATCTATCACCAGAGAATCCACACTGGGGAGAAACCCTATAAATGCAACGACTGTGGGAAAGCCTTCAGTGACGGCTCCATTCTCATTCGACATCGCCGGACTCACACTGGAGAGAAGCCGTTTGAGTGTAAGGAATGTGGCAAAGGCTTCACCCAGAGTTCCAACCTTATCCAGCATCAGAGAATTCACACTGGAGAGAAACCCTATAAATGCAACGAATGTGAGAAAGCCTTCATTCAAAAAACCAAGCTTGTTGAACATCAGCGAAGCCACACGGGAGAGAAGCCCTACGAATGCAATGACTGCGGCAAAGTCTTCAGCCAGAGCACACACCTCATCCAGCACCGGAGGATCCACACCGGGGAGAAGCCCTACCGGTGTGAGTGTGGGAAGGCCTTCCACAACAGCTCCAGACTCATTCACCACCAGCGGTCGCACCACGGGGAGAAGCCCTACGAGTGCGGTGAGTGCAAGAAGGCCTTCAGCCAGAGCACGTACCTCATCCAGCACCGGAGGATCCACACGGGGGAGAAGCCCTACAAGTGTGGCGAGTGTGGGAAGGCCTTCCGGCACAGCTCCAACATGTGCCAGCACCAGAGGACCCACCTCAGGAAGGACTTCCCCATGCCACAGGGCCAAAGGGCGTGTCTTCCAGTTAAACAAAACTCTTAACTCAAGAGCAGTGCATGTTCACTTTAGAAAAGCTGCGAGGGGAAAGCAAGCAGAAAAGAGGCTCTTTTAGTCTCCACCTACCGAGATTCTGGGGCTGGCACTGGCACAGCACATTAGCTGCCACCCACAACGTGGGCATCCCAGAGGAGTGTGGGCTCGAGTCTTGGCTGCTCCACTTCCGATCCAGAGGATGGAAGATCTCTGGCTCTCTGTCCCTGTCTCTCTCTGTAACTCTGGCTTTCCAATACCTAAGTGAAATTTTTAAAAAATCAGATTTGTTCAATAGGCTAATCCTCCGCCTAGCGGCGCCGGCACACCGGGTTCTAGTCCCGGTCAGGGCGCCGGATTCTGTCCCGGTTGCCCCTCTTCCAGGCCAGCTCTCTGCTATGGCCAGGGAGTGCAGTGGAGGATGGCCCAGGTGCTTGGGCCCTGCACCCCATGGGAGACCAGGAAAAGCACCTGGATCCTGGCTCCTGCCATCGGATCAGTGCGGTGTGCCGGCTGCAGCGGCGGCCATTGGAGGGTGAACCAACGGCAAAGGAAGACCTTTCTCTCTCTGTCTCTCTCTCACTGTCCACTCTGCCTGTCAAAAAAAAAAAAAAAAAAATCAGATTTGTAAAAAAAAAAAAAAAAAAAAAAAAAGATTCTTTGCTGCTGAGTTAATGTTTTGTTTTAGACACACTGGGGAATATTTCTAAAAGATGTATTTATTTTTAAAGATTTATTTATTTATTTAATTGAAAGAGTTACACAGAGAGAGAAGGAGAGGCAGAGAGAGAGAGAGAGAGAGAGGTTTTCCATCCACTGGTTCACTAGTCGGCTGCAACAGCCGGAGCTGGGACGATCCAAAGCCAGGAGCCAGGAGCTTCTCTGGTCTCCCATGTGGGTGCCATCTTCCACTGCTTTCCCAGGCCACAGCAGGGAGCTGGATCGGAAGAGGAGCAGCCGGGACCCGAACCAGTGCCCATATGGGATGCAGGCACTGCAGGCAGCAGCTTTACCTGCTACACCACAGTGCTGGCTCCCAAGATTTATTTATTACCTGAAAGGCAGAGTGACAGAGCAAGAGGGAGAGTGAGAATGAGACCTTCCATCTACTGGTTCACTCCCCACATGGCTGCAGCAGCTGGGGCTGCACTAGGCTGATGCCAGGAGCCAGAAGCTCCATCCAGGTCTCCCACATGGGCAGGGACTCAGATGCTTGAGCCATCGTCTGGTTCTCTGGTGTATTAGCAGGGAGCTAGGATGGAGGCAGAGTAACTGGGACTCACACGGGCACTCTGATATGGGATGCGGCATCACAAGGGTGGTTTAACCCCTGTACCATGGCGCCCCGCTGGAGAGCCACTGTACTCCTAACATCTGTGCCGTTTCCTCAGTGCAAGAAATTCAAGCTACAGAGAACTCCAATACCGGCATATTTCTACAGTTTCTAAGCAAAAATTGACACTACATCACTCAAACTTGGTTCACAGAGTTGAAAATGCCTTTTTTGTTGTGGGAAAAATCTATATAACAAAATTGACCACTGTAACCAGTGTGGCGTAGAGCACTAAGTACACTCACAGTGCAAATGTAGCTGCCACTGCTCCCGCAATTGTTTTCTTCTCCCAGTCACAAGCTCGGGACCTAGTACGCAGTACCTCCTCCCCTTCCAGTTGCTGGTTCTGAGTTTCCCTTTCCCAGGAACCCCAACTGAGTGTGATCTGTAATACACGTTCTGCGTGTCTGGCTTCGTTCCTCTAGTAATGGAGCCTGAATCAAACTCCATTCTTTTTATGGCTAAATAATATTCTACTCTGAGGACCGTGTGTTCTTGATTGTTGGGCAGTTGGGTGTCTCTGCCTTTGCACGATTGTGAATAATGTTGGCATGAACATTAGTGTACACGCACTGTATGTGTTTGGGTCCTTTATTATATTTGCTTATTTATTTGAGAGGCAGAGTTACAGATGGAGAGAGAGGTCTTCTATCTGCTGGTTCACTCCCCAGATGGCCACAATGGCTGGAGCTGAGCCATTTCAAAACCGGGATCCAGGAGCTTCCTCTGGGTCTCCCATGTGGGTGCAGGGCACAAGCACTTGGGCCATCCTCCACTGCTTTCCCAGGCCACAGCAGAGAGCTGGATTGGAAATGGAGCAGCCAGGACTTGAACCGGTGCCCATATAGGATGCTGGTGCTGCAGGCCAGGGCTTTATCCAGCTACGCCACAGCGCTGGCCCCTCTTTGCCTATTTTTAAATTGGTTTCTGTGTTTTGTATCGTTGAATTGCAGGGGTTTTTGTTCTGTGTTTTGGGTGTTAGGCCCCTATCAGCTACTTGATTTTCCAGTGCTTTCTCCCGCTTGTGGTCTCATTCCCGTGACCGTGTCCCCGGGGAGCTCCAGTTTCTGTGTTGTCGTTGCCTGCATCTTTGGTGTCATATGTGAAAAACCATTTCTAAAATCCCAGGTGAGGGAGCTGCGTGCTGTCTTTTCATCTGAGTTGATGTCTTACCTGTTGGTCTTTACTCTGAACTAATTTCTGTGTGGTGTAAGTCAGCAGCTGCCAGCGCCTCGGTCCAGATTTATGCTGTGTGAGTAAACCCAGTGTTCCCAGCAACACTCATTAAGTAGACTTCTCTTTCCCAGTTGAACTGTGCGGTAGTCAGCATGGGCGGCCACACAGAACACCAGACTGGGAGGCTCGTGGTTCTGAGGCCTACGGTCCAGCGTGTCTGGTTCCCCGAGGACTCTCCCTGGGCTGCCAGGGCCAGCTGTTGCCCCAGGTCCTCCCTCATGTTGGGGAGAGGGCTCTGGTATCTTCCTCTTAGGAAGGCACCAGCCCTAGTGGGTTAGGCCCCGCCCTTATTGCTTCATTTCCTGTCTCCAAATACATCATGTTGGACGTTAGAGCTTCATGTGGTGTGGGGGAGGGGCACAAACTCATTCCCTGACAAATGGTCTCTGCACCCTTGTTTAAAACCAGTCCCACATTTGTGTGAGGTCTTGTCTGTCTTTACTGAGGGCACTGCCTCATGGCAGAATTTACTCAGGTCTCATGAGACTAGGTCAGTCCTCGTGAGCATGGGTTGTCCAAGGGAGCCAGACGCCTCCCCCGAGCCCCTCCTCACTTCTGCACACACTCTTGCCGTGGTGATCCTGTCTGCCACGGGCCCTCTCCAGAACCAAACATGCTGGCACCATGCTCTTGAGTCTCCACGCCTGTGACCTAAATAAAGTACCAGACTCAGGTGTTCTGCTACAGCAGCACGCAGCGCACTGCGGGGAGACGCTGTGCCGAGAGCGGGGCAACTGGGTAGCTGGAAGAGCTTCCAAGGGTAGGCACAGAAAAGCCTAGAATACCGTGTCAGTGGGGACTTATGCGTGATCCTGGTGAGCGCTTAGAAGGTAACGAGACCTTCAGAGTTACTGGAATGCTGTTGAAAGTGCAGCAAAGCATACCGTCGCAGGGAACTTGGCTCCAAATTGTTTAAGAATGGTGAATATCAGGGCTGGCACTGTGGCGTGGTGGGTGAAGCCACTGCCTGCAAACCCAGCATCCCATATGGGCACTGGTTTGTGTTCTGACTGCTCCAGTTCCAATCCAGTTTCCTGCTAATGGACTGGGAGAAGTAGTGGAAGATGGCCTAAGTGTTTGGGTCCCTGCCACCCACACAGGAGACCAGGATGAAACTCCTGGCTTTGGCCTGGCCCAGCCCTGGCCTTTGTGACCATCTGGGATCTGGGGAATGAAACACAGGATGGAAGATCTCTCCCTCTCTCCCCCTCTCCCTCCATAACTCTGACTTTCACATAAATAAATCTTAAAAAAAAAAAAAAGGATGAAAAATTAGCAGAAGTTTCTTCGTGGTAAATCCTTCAGGCTGCTGCTTGGTTACTTGGAACTGCTTTTCTCAGACTTGGGCAAAGGGAAGCAGGATGGGAGGCTTGGAAAATTCAGAGCCTGGCCCAGGAGAGAGTGCGTAAGACACCTGTTAGGGTGTTGTGGTAACTGCTAAGGGGATTGCTGTGGGCAAAGAGAGGTCCCAGCTGCCCGTCGGGGCCCAAGGGCACCTCAGAAATCTGCCTCTCCAGTGGCTGGCCGAGAATGTGGGGGAGAGTGATTTCAGGGAACAGCTCCGCGGGGTCCCCACTCTCTGGAAAAGTGCTCTGTTGCTTTGGCCGTGGTTCCCATGGGCCCAGGCATAGCCCAAGCCATAACTGCAAGGCGGGTGAGCAGAGCTCCTGCTGGCATCCACATGACACTGGTTCCACCACGCAGAATGCAGGGGCTATGGGGCCGTGGTGCTTCCACTGAGATTTCACAGGAAAGCCTGGGGAGGCAGACAGAAGCGTGGTGCAGGGGTGGAGCTGGCACGGGTTCTTCCACAGAGTGTCCAGGAGCTGTGGGAGACCCCAGAAAGGCAGAGCATCCGGCAGTGGGCAGTGCACGCCCTGGACTTCACCCTGCATGGACAGACACGTGGACTGAGACCAGCAAAGCCCTGGGGACAGAGCTGTCTGGCTCCTCGAAGGCCCATCCTGTGCACTGGATGCTAGGCTTGGAGCCCTGCCAGGTTTGGTCTTTCTCTTGGTCAATGTCTAGGAATGTTCACCCTGTGCTGTTTCACATTGTGTCTCCAAAGTGTGTAACTTGTTTCTCACTTGCAGGCTCACAACTGGAAGGAGTTGGGCTTGAGTCTCAGATGTGGCTCTGGACTTGGGCTTTCGGGCAGCACGGGAATGAATTAAGACTTGGGGACTTTTGGGAATGGAATGCTTATATTTCTGTGCTCTGAGAAGGACATGAATGTTGGGGGCCTGGAATACACTTGCTGTCGTTTGTCCCCCAGGGATTCCTGGCACTTGAGGAGGTGGAAATGCTATGAGGTAGGGCCTAGAGGAAGGCAGGTGAGTCACGGGGCACCGCCCTCAGAAGAGGTCAAAGTCATGGGGTACAGGAGCCCCACTTCTGCATGCTGTCCACCACGAGGCCTCAGCAGAGCTGAGCTGGTGCCAGTGCAGTGCTATGGAGTCTGCAGAACTGTGAGCTGAATAGATCTCTTTTCTTTATAAAATATCCAGCCTCAGATATTTTGTTATAGGATCAAAAAGACTAACTCACAGTTCCACACTGTTTTGATTAATGTAGCTTTAAAAAAATTATTTATTTATTTGAAAGAGTTACACAGAGAGAGAAGGAGAGGCAGAGAGAGAGAGAGAGAGAGAGAGAGAGAGAGAGAGAGAGAGAGGTTTTCCATCCGCTGGTTCACTCCCCAGTTGGCTGCAATGGTGGGAGCTGGGCCAATCCGAAGCCAGGAGCCAGGAGCTCCTTCAGGGTCTCCCACACGGGTGCAGAGACCCAAGGACTTGGGCCATCTTCCACTGCTTTCCCAGGCCACAGCAGAGAGCTGGATCAGAAGTGGAGCAGCCGGGACTCGAACTGGCGCCCACATGGGATGCCGGCCCTGCAGGCCAGGGCTTTAACCTACTGTACCACGGCGCTGGCCCCAACAGGTCATCTTAATGACTATTTACTCCATAGGGCTTGGAATGGCCCCAGGATCACCTAAAGGTGGCTGTGACCGGAATGGCTGTGGTTGTGTCAAGCTGGGGTCCTACAGCATCGTAAGTGGGATTGAAAATGCATTTAGTGGGGCTGGCACTGTGGCACAGCAGGTTAAAGCCGCGGCCTGCAGCGCCAGCATCCCATATGGGCACCGGTCCGAGTCCTGGCTGCTCCACTTCTGATCCAGCTCTCTGCTGTGGCCTGGGAAAGCAGTGGAAGATGGCCCAAGTCCTTGGGCCCCTGCACCCATGTGGGAGACCCTGAAGGAGCTCCTGGCTCCTGGTTTTGGATCAGCTCAGCTCTGGCTGTTGTGGTCATTTGGGCAGTGAACCAGCAGATGGAAGACCTCTCTCTCTGGCTCTACCTCACTCTGTTACTCTTTCAAATAAATAAAATTTCTCTAAAAAAGAGAAGAAAGTGCGTTAGTGCAGCTGCCATGCGCCGGGGCTGAGCAGCACCGGCACTGTGAGCAGCGGCTCCCCGGCCCTTGCGACTGTGCGGCTGAGTACTGACAGCCTGGACAAAGACACACACTGGAAGTGGAAGTGTGTTCTTCTGCATGGGCATCACCTTTGCACCACCATAAAGCTGGAAAACCCTAAGTCAAGCCATTGTAGTTAGGGGTCTTCTGCATGTTATTCCACGGTGACTCATTTTGGAGTCTTTATTTTTTAAAAAAGTTTATTTTCATCTACTTGAAAGGCAGAATGAGACAGACAGACAGATTTTTCATTAGCTGGTTCACTCCCCAAATGCCCACAACAGGCAGCCAGTTAGTCTGCAGCTCTGTCCAGGTCTCCTGCATGGGAGGCAGGGACCCCAGCACTTGGCCATCACCTGCTGCCTCCCAGGATAATAGCAGGAAGCAGGGACAATGGAACTTGAACCAGCCCTGTGATACGGGATGCAGCACCAAAACACCTACCCCTTATTTTAAATTGTGTCTTTAGGAAACCATTCTAAAAACAAATAAGCTTTTAAAGGATGTTTATGTATATATCCAAATGTTTCCCAGAGTGCAGTGTCTCCGCGCTGGCTCTTCGACTCCTGTGTACCTCTTTCTGATTCCCTGAGTTGCTTACTGCCTGCTGGGACGCAGTCACACAGAACAGCGTGGACCTCCTGTGTGGGTGATTGAGCTTCGTAGCAGAGGGCACAACTGCAGCCCTGGCTTAGAAGTGAGCTGGGCCCTGGAGACGCCTTTCTCTGCATTAGTGTCAGTGGAATCTCCTGCCCTGCACTCTCCCTGGCTGTTTGCTAAGACATCAGCTCTGGGGTCTCCATCCCATCAGCTGGGGGAGAGGGTCGTGCTCCCTGGATTGGTGTCACCCAGGGGACTGTGGCCTCTTTGAATGCAGGGGGCCCATGGTGTGAGGGCTGGAGAGGTGGTGCTGGCAGTGTTGGTAGCCATTAGGAGAAATAATAATGATTTAAATAATAAAATGTAAAAACTTCTAAATAAAAAAATCCAAAAGAAGTGTGGAATGTGGCTAAATCAGAGGCAGAATGTGATGTTGGTTGCTACCAAAAGGAAGAGGACCCCAGCAATCATTCTGGCCCTAGAAGGCAGACGACCTCAGGGTACAGTAGGCCAGGTGCCGCCTCTGCTCCTTGGGGTAGAGGAGGAGGTGGAGAGGGTGAGAAAGGGCGGCCCAGGCCTTTTCCCCAGAGAAAGGGGCATGGAGACTGTGAGCCTGCTACTGGATCAGTGCAGTCTGACAGCAAGAACATGTCAAGTATTTTAGAAAGGTTTCTCTGAAGACCCTAGGTTACCGGGGGATGGAACAACCTAGAACCACTTGTACTGGGTAACATCTCATGACACAGAGCCTCAAATAGTCCTCCATATTGAATTTAACTGAACTCTTATGCTCTTCTAATTGGAACATGACTTTGTCTAATTCTTCCACGTGATTAGAAGCTGGTGGGCGAGCACTGTGGCACAGCAGGTTAAGCCACTGCGTACAACACTGGCACCCTGACTTGGAGTGCTGGTGTCTGATCTAGCCAGCTCCCTGCTAATGCGCCTGGGAAAGCACCCGGTGATGGCCAAGTGTTTGAGCTCAAATCTGCATGGGAGACCCAGATGGAGTTCTGGCTCCTGGCTTCCGCCTGGCCCAGCCTCAGCCTTTGTGGCCATTTGGGCAGTGAACTGGCAAGTGGGAGATTCTCTGCTTTTCAAATAAACGAAATCTTAAAAAAGAAGAAAAAAAAAAAGTATGGCTGAGTGGTGGTGGGGTCCTTCAGGTGCCAGGGAGGGTCGGTGGCTTCCTTCTTGAGGAATTCCTAAGTTAACACCACAGTGGCCTTATCTCCTCTCAGTGGTCACAGCTCCTAAGTAAGCTCTCTTTTCCCAAAGCCTTACTGGTAGTGCTTGCGACACCCTCCCTGAAGGATCACCTTAGCAAGCCCTACCTGTCTGTGTGGTCGCACCCCCAGCGATCCAACACCAGCCAGCTCCTGTCCTGTCTAGTGCTGCTCTGTGGAGCACCACTCCTGTGATGGGCCCTCCCGAAGCCCCAGTCCCCTCAGCTCCTCTGTAAATGAGTTCAGCGATCCTCAGCTCCTGAGTAGTGCTCCACTGGCTTTAGCTCTTCCTGGCCTCCCTCATGGAGTACCACTGCAGGGCCCGCCATTCCTCTGGGGTTTCACATTTCGGCTCCTCTAAGGATCACCAGAGATATGACCCCTGGGTGACCCCAGGCCCTCTGCGCCCCAGTGGCTGATGGCAGTTCCTTTCAGAAGTAACACCCAGTGATGTCCCTGTGGGAGAACACCGCAGGACTGCTTCTTCATGTCCTTTCGGAAGTGACTGTTAGTTAAGTCGTCTCCTATCTGCAGCAGAGCCAGCTGCCCCAGCTCTCTGAGCTCCTCTGAAATCACACTGCACGGCAGGGATCTCGGCTCTTCTGCAGTTAACACTTCCTCTGTCCGCACAGGAAACAAGCTTTTGCTTCCACTGTGGTGGCTGCTGTGCACTGCAGTCAGTGCCCACCGCCCATTTTCTCCCAAGAAGCTAAGCACTAAGGACCCTCTGCCATTAGGCGCTCCACACAGTGATGAGGATCGGAAGTGGCTTTCCGTTTTTTGTTTTGCAGCTGGCTGCTACCAGAAATGGCTCAGACATAAACTGAGTTACAAGACCTCTGTGCTTAAAACTGAGCAAATAATTTTGAAGTTAAACACAAAATTTTAACTGAGTGAACCAGATTCATCACAGCATATCGCAATGGATCCTAGATTCTATTGAACTGGGGTAAAAAAATAACTTTAAAGACCCCATCAAATATAGGGATCTAAATATTAGCAAAGCCCAAAAGAATTACCTGAATTTGAAAATTTTGTTTTGAAAATATGCATGAAAGAACTTTTTAGAAATTTTTAAAAACACCGTGAGGTATAGAGGCACCCACTGTGTGGGAGCTGTGAGGCCTGCTGTAGGTATAGAGCCCCCGCCTACAGTCAGATTGGACTGACAGGCGGGAGACACCATGGTCTCCTGGATAGACCTGTGGGTCACCAGGGTAGGTTCTGAGCTGAGAACCCATTTTCAAGTTGAAATTTTACTAAAGAGCCAGTGCATCCTCTCTGATCTTGCAGAGAGTTAAGGCCCTAGATAAGCAGGCTTTCTCACACTTAGGATTTCCAGCCATTCTGCATGACACTGTTTGATGGCATTGTTTCCTATCACATTCTGATTTTTCCTATCGACATTCTAAGTATGATAATTGGAATCAGAAGAGACATGTAGTATCCTCAGGGGGAAGAAAATCTTTATTTGAAATGTAAATGAGTCTTACCGGGACAATAGTTCTTATGCCTTAATGCGCCCTACTCACTTCAATAATGTTGTTATGGCTACCTTTACCACAATTCATTACAACTGTAATCATACAGGCAGAGAGAAGGTGTCTGGTGCACTCTGTGACACGGGATCATCAGGCACTGCCTGTGGGGTCACGTGGCTCTTCTGGGATGCAGGATGCCCGCAGTCCCATGCAGCTCGGATCACGTGCTGCCCTGGCAGCTGCAGGTCACAGCTTCCTGTGCACTTTCTGGTGCTGGATCAGGTGCCCATGCTGGTTGAAGGCGCGGCCGCACTCCCCGCACTCGTAGGGCTTCTCGCCCGTGTGGATCCTCTGGTGCTGGATGAGCACCGAGTACTGGCTGAAGGCCTTCCCGCAGCTGTTGCACTCGTAGGGCTTCTCGCCCGTGTGAGTCCTCAGGTGCACAATCAGAGTTGCTTTCAGGCTGAAGGCCTTGCCACACTCTGTGCACTGGAAGGGCTTCTCGCCTGTGTGGATCCTCTCATGCTGGATCAGAGACCGGCGTGCACTGAAGGCATGGCCACACTCACCACACACATAGGGCTTTTCCCCAGTGTGCACCCGCTGGTGCTGGATCAGGTGTGAGTGCTGAACAAAGGCCTTCCCACACTCATAGCACGCGTAGGGCTTCTCCTCCGTGTGGATCCGCTCGTGGTTCATCAGGGTGGAACGGTGGCTGAAGGCCTTCCCGCACTCGCCGCACTCGTAGGGCTTCTCCCCCGTGTGCACGTTGTGGTGCTGGATGAGGACTGAGCGGTCACTGAAGGCCTTCCCGCACTCGCTGCAGGTGTAGGGCTTCTCCCCGGTGTGGGTCCTCTGGTGCTGCAGCAGCGTTCTCTTCACGCTGAAGGTTTTCCCACACTCACCGCACCTGTGGGGCTTCTCCCCGGTGTGCACTCGCTGGTGGCTGCGCAGCACGGTGCTGTGGTTGAAGGCTTTCCCACACAAGGGACACACATAAGGCCGCTCGCCCGTGTGGATCCGCTGGTGCTGAATGAGGTGCGAGAGCTGAGTGAAGGCCTTCCGGCACTCGAGGCACTCATGGGGCTTCTCTCCCGTGTGGATCTTGTGGTGCTGAGCAAGATCTGAGCTCACCCTGAAGGCTTTTCCACACTCATTGCACTCATAGGGCTTCTCACCCGTGTGAATCCTCTTGTGTTTACTGAGGACTGAACTTTGGCTAAAGGCCTTCCCACACACCCCGCACACATAAGGTTTCTCTCCAGTGTGGATTCGCTGATGTTGAAGGAGATGCGAGCTCCGACCGAAGCACTTCCCACACTCGATGCATATGTAGGGCCTCTCTCCATTAGGAGCTGCTGGAGTAAGTGCCATGCTCTGCTTCAACACCTCAACCTCGCGGTGGCCAACAGAGTTTGGACGGTGGCCAAAGCTTTGCTCTGTTTTATCAGGTCCTTGATCAATCCTTCCTGGGGGTGTTTTCCCCACCATCACATCCAACTCTGTATTTTGGTTCTCTTCTTTGGTTTTACATCCTGAAACAAAGCCAAATGAAAATGTTAATACTATCTACAACTGCAGAATGGGGCCAGCATTGCACTGCAGCAGGTTAAACCACCTCTTACAATGATAGCATCCCACATCTAGTGGCTCTACTTCCAACCTAGTTCCATGCTAATATGCCTTGGAAGGTGGCAGAAGATGGCCCAAGTACTCTGGGTCCCTGCCATCCATGTGGGAGACCCAGATGAAGTTTGTGGCTCCTGGCTTCAGCCTTACCTAGACCTTGCTGTTGAGGCCATTTGGGGAGCAAACCACCATATGGAAGATCTGTCTCTCTGCCTTTCAAATAAATATTTTTTAAAAGATTTTATTTTATTTATTTGAAAGACAGCCTCAGAGGGAGGTAGAGACAGACAGAGAGGTCTTCCATTCATTGATTTACTCTCCAAATGGCCAGAGATGAGCTGATCCGAAGCCAGGAGCCAGGAGCTTCTTCCGGGTCTCCCAAGTAGGTGCAGAGGCCCAAGGACTTGAGCCATCTTCCACTGCTTTCCCAGGTGCATTAACAGAGAGTTGGGGCCGGTGCCGCGGCTCAATAGGTTAATCCTCCGCCTGTGGTGCCGGCACCCCAGGTTCTAGTCCCGGTTGGGGCACCGGATTCTGTCCCGGTTGCTCCTCTTCCACTACAGCTTTCTGCTGTGGCCCGGGAAGGCAGTGGAGGATGGCCCAAGTGCTTGGGCCCTGCACCCCATGGGAGACCAGGAGGAAGCACCTGGCTCCTGGCTTCGGATCAGCACGGTGCACTGGCCGCAGCGCACCAGCTGCAGCGGCCATTGGAGGGTGAACCAACAGAAAAGAAAGACCTTTCTCTCTGTCTCTCTCTCTCACTGTCCACTCTGCCTGTCCAAAAAAAAAAAAAAAAAAAAAAACAACCAGAGGGTTGGATCAGAAGTAGAGCAGCCAGGACTCCAATTGGTGTCCATATGGGATGCCGGTGTGGCAGGCTGGGGCTTTAACCTGCTGCACCACAGTGCTGGCTCCGCAAATGAATATTTTTTAAAAATCTGCAGAGTATACCTCTGAAACTGGTTTTGCTGATCAAAGTATGGTGCGAGCGCATGTGGCTATGAGCTGGAGAGGAACAGGACCACTACAACCATCTCAAATACTAGAAGTCAGAGGATCGTGTTTCTAAACAGGAACAAGCCAAGGCTGACAGCAAGGTTAAAGAGAGCGATGTGAACCCACCTGAGGTCACACCTAGGTGGAGCGCACAGGGCACACAGGAGCAGGACACACCCAACACCAAAAGAAGCCCTTGGCTGGGCCTGCAGAATTTGGGTCTCCTTTCTGATTCCTTCTCTTCCTCTTTCCCCACACCAGCATCCAAGTCCTTTACACAATTTGGTTAAGTCTATCACTGTCCCTGTCCCTCTTGTTTCTTTCTTTATTGATCAATGTCTGTGTTGGCTTTTTGGCTATAACTATAAAAAAGTTTTTATTTGAAAGCCATAAAGAGACAGACAGAGATATCTCATACACTGGTTCACTCCCCAAATGCCTGCAACAGCTGTGGCTTGGCCAGGCTGAAGCCAGGAGCTGAGAACTCAATCCAGGCCTCCCATGTGGATGACAGGGATCCAACTACTGGCACCATCACTGCTGCCTTCCAGGGTTCACATAAGCAGGAAGCTGGAATCAGGATAGAGTTATGACCTAAGTCCAGACAGTGCATTCTGGGATATGGGCATCCCAAAAGCTCCTGCCCTTCTTTGTTTTGTAATTTTAGTATAGTGATTATTCTGTTTTATAGTTTCAACTTGTCCCAGTATACCTCCAGGTGATGGCATAAAACACATCAAGCTTTCATTTCTCCCTTCCCTGCCTTTGTTACTGTTGTCACACATTTTACTTCTACATGTACCATAACCTCTAAAATACATCCTCATTTTTGTTTATGTAGTTAGTTGTCTTTGAAAGGGACTGAGATAGTAACAATAAGACAACCCTGTTGACTCAGTGGTTAACACTTCCTGCCTTTGTGAACATCACATTGCCATCTCATGCATTCTTTTCTGCCTGAAGGACTCGGGGGTTTCAGGTCTGGTTAGGAACCCTGCGACCTTCCATGTGTCTAGAAGCGTAATCTACCTCTACTTTCCTCAGGTGCTTCAGAGGTGCTGTTACGTTGCTTCTGACAAGAGATGAGCAGTAATCCCTTATTCCTCCATGTGCAATGTATTTTTCTCTCGCTGCTTTAAAACTTCTCTTTATCACTGTCTTAAGCAACGTGATAGTGTGGTTTAGTGCAATTTTCTTCAAGCACAGGGTTCGTGGACCTTCTTGGATCTGTGGGTTTATAGTTTTCATCAGATTTAAAATGTCTGCAATCATTATATCCTCAAACATTTTTTTGACCCTCCTGCTCTGCTGCTGCTCTGACTGCAAGCCAGAGACCACTCAGCTTGTCCATGGTCACTGCTCTCTCTGGGCTCTCATGTCTCCTTCCAGACAGTTTCTATTGCTTGCTGTCTTTAAGTTCACTCGTCCTTTCTCATGACTAATTTGCCGTTATTAACTCCATACCATGTCCTCATCTTCCTGTTTTATTTGTGTCATTTCTGGCCTTGCCTCTTTACATGACTGGCCATTTTCTACTAGACGCCAGAATTGCGGTTTATGTTGGTCAGTGTTGGATACCATTGTTGAGGTCTGTTATGTGGCTGAATGACTTGGATGAAGGGATTCTTCTGGGTCTTCCTCTTATAGCTTTGTTAGGTGGGATTACACTGGGAGCTGTTTTCCTCCGTTGTTAAGACAAAACCTTTCTTGGTACTCTAATGTCTCATGAATTGTGAGGTTTTCCAGTCTGGCTGATGGGAACAGATGGTATTACCAGCTTGGGATGAGCACTGGGTACTGCATTAGTTTGTCACACTTAACTCTTAGTTCTGTACACCAGAATTCCACATGGCACAGCTATATTCTATGCTCAGGGCATCTAAAAGCTGAAATAAAGTGTTGGCCAGTCTAAGATCCTGTGTGGAGGCTCAGGGGGACAAACCCACTTTTTTTTTTTTTTTTAAAGATTTATTTATTTATTCTAAAGTCAGAGTTAGAGAGAGAGGGAGAGACAGAAAGGTCTCCCACCCACTGGTTCACCCCCCAGATGGATACAATGGCTGGGACTGGGCCAGGCGGAAGCCAGGAGCTTTTTTCAGGCTTCCCACATAGGAGGTAGGGGCCCAAGCACCTTGCCCTATTCTGCTGCTTTCCCAGGCCAGTAGCAGGGAGCTGGATCACAAATGGGTCAGCCAGGACTTGAACTGGTGCCCATAAGTGATGCCGGTGTCATAGGCAGTGGCTTTACCCACTATGCCACAACATCGGCAGTAAAACCACTTCTAAGCTCATTCTTACTGTTGGCAAAATTTAGCTCCTTGTCAGACTGACCAAGGTGGCTGTTCTTTGCTGAATGTTAGACGAGGGCTGTTCTCAGCTTCTAAATGCTGCCTGTATGTCTTGCCATATGAGCCCCTCCATCTTCAAAGTAGCAATGGCACCTAAATGTCTCTCCTAGGTTTTGAACCTGACTCCTCTGCCTCTGATCTCCGGACCAGTTCAGCGCCATCCATAGCCTAGTCATCACATGCTTGGGGATTATGCAGAACGCGTAATACAGGGTGCAGGATCTTAAATTCTGGCCACCACAGTCACTACTTCCTTTAATTCCTTCTGCTGGTGCTTTCTTGGTCTCAGACAACTGACTTATATGCATGTGCTAATCTGTAGATCTCTACAATTGTTTGTGAAATTGATTCCTCTTCCACAAGACTTTCAGCTCTCTCAGCTTCTCTGGACTTTGAGACCTGTCTCCTTAATTCAGGGAGATCAACAAACTGTGGTGCCGGAGTCCCCATGGGTGCCGGTTCTAGTCCCGACTGCTCCTCTTCTAATCCAGCTCTCTGCTATGGCCTGGGAAAGCAGAAGATGGCTCAAGTGCTTGGGCCCTGGCACCTGCGCAGGAGACCTGGAAAAAGCTGGTTCCCATCTTCAGATGGGCTCAGCTCCGGCCGTTGTGGCCATTTGGGGAGTGAACCAGTGGATGGAAGACCTCTCTCTCTGTCTCTCCCTCTCACTGTCTGTAACTCTACCTCTGAAATAAATAAACAAAACCTTAAAAAAACACAACAAACTATGCCAGGACCCCCTCCCTGTGCCTCAACTTTCTCCAAGCTGTGAGCTAGAGCTCACCTTCTTTTCTGTTTTAGGAATCACTTTCTCTTGCTGACTCATTTCCAATGACACTGATGTTCCACATCTTGAGTTGTAGTTTCAGACATCTTGTTCAGCTTTTCAGTCATTTCCAGTGACAGGGTAAGTCTGGTCCATTGCTCCAAGTTGACAGGCAGTGGAACCCCCTCATCTAAAAAAAAATTATGTCTACTCGAAAAATTAGCTTATTTATGCATGTTTCTGATAATTCCATGTAGCACAGTCTTCGGCAACCAAATATTCAGGTCATCTTCTGTTGCCTTCCTAGGCACACTGGCAGGTAACTGGATTGGAAGCAGAATAGCCAGGACTCAAACTGGAGATCATATGGGTCACAGGTGTTGGAAGTGGGGGATTAACCTGCTGCGTCGAAATATTGGCCTCGGTATATGCCATTCTTTTAAAATACTGTATTTCATTTATCTGTCCACTCAAATGTTAATGGACGTTTAGGTTAGTTTCAGTTTTCCATCATGAAGCATGTCCTATGAAGATTCTTGCATGTTTCAAGTGCTCACACACAGATGTCCGTCCTGTACGCACACATGGAGTAAAGATGGGAAACAGAGGGCTTCCTATTTCCAACTTAATGAGATGTCACTGTTTTCCAAACACCTGGGTGACGCTGCAGCTCCGCTGGCTGCCCATACCCTCATCTGTCCTTGACACGGTCAGGTCTTCCCACTCCTTTCCATCCTGCAGGTGTAACATGATGCTCTGTCACAGTTTTGATCGCCAGTTTATTAGGGAAAAATGAGGCTCAGCATGTTTTCTTGTCTATGGGCCCTTTAGTTCTCCTGTTATCAGGAACTTGTTCAAATTTTGTGTTCATTTTTCTTATTGAATATTTCTTTTTATTCTCTTTTAGAGCCATTTAAAAATGTGTACTGTATTGATAAACTGAAAGTGGGACTTAACATATTCTTTATTTAAAAAAGTAAATTCACTATAATGTTTAATAAAATTTTTAGCACTTCTTTTGACAAGTTCTGTTATGTTTTTGAAATTGCTAGGCAACAAGTTTTAGTTTTTTTTAAAACTAAGAACCCTCATCTTAACAAATGAAATAATTATTCATTTATACTTCTATTATTTGACATTTCTTGAATGGGTGGTTTTTAATCTGATGCCAGAGTAACAAGATGACTTTAGTAATAAAAATTATACAGGAAGTTCTCTCATGGCATAAAAGCACTATCAGATTCAAGCTGTTGCAGGCAGGCCAGTAGTAGGTTACACCTATTCTGCACCTTGCATCCTTGCTGCTCAGAAGTGGGGCCTGAGCCAGGAGCCACTGACTTTCAGAACTCAAGTACTTGGGCTGTCACCACTGCCCCCCAGGGCCAGCATTAGCAGAAAGGTGGAGTCAGGAGTCAGAGCTGAATACTGAACCAGGCACTCTGATAGGGGCTGTGGGTGTCTTAACCAGCATCTTGATTGCTATACTTAAATGTCTGCTCTGGGAAGTATGTTTTGAGTGAGTCAAAATAAATAAAGGGAAGAAGTACTTCCACCAAAATAAATTTTTAATAAAACCCCCTTTGCAGCGATTTTGTGAGTTGTGTAAAGAACCTCATGGCGCCCTGGGCACTCTCTGAGGGACTGTGTGAGTTGTATACAGAACTCCATGATGCCCTGGGCAATCTCATATGAGCATTAGCACCTGAGGGATCACAATGAACTGAAACAATGGCTCATATACTTACCCCCGAGTAAACTGTCTTGTTGCACACAGGGTGCAGTGTAGTCACATTTGAGGTCATCTGCAAAAGGAACAGAGGTGAGGTGACGACAAGCCACCTTTCTCAAGAGTAGAAAAATGATTTCACCGCTATTACAACACGTGAGTGCGGAAGTGGGGCTGGGTAGACACACACATTCACTCATGTAGGCTGCCAGGACAAGGCACTGGTGCACTCTCCTATCCTGCTCTGATGCCTGAGCAGCAACCCCATGGCTTTGGTTTCATGAACACTATTAATCTGAAACTCAGTAAGTCCCTTCCTCCTCTGAGGCCACACCCTCCACTCTGCAGCCCACCTTCCGTCTCTTCAGTGTCACTCACAGGGAGTCTAAGATCTCCATCAGGTGAGAGCATAGCCAGTCATCAGTCACCAGAGAGCCCAGGCCTGGTTTGTCAGTGGCTGCACAATACCATGTTTCTTGTTTCCGTGGCTGTAGTCAGCAAACAATGTAAAGTTCTGTTCAGTATTCCCACAATATCATGTTGTGTCCTTTTTAAAGATTTTTTTGAGGATGCTGGTGCTGTGGCATAGTGGGTAAAGCCACCACCTGCAGTGCGGGCATCCCATAAGGGTGCCAGTTTGAGACCCGGCTGCTCTGTTTCTGATCCAGCTCTGCTATGGCCTGGGAAAGCAGTGGAAGATGGTCCAACTGCTTGGGCCCCTGTACCTGCCTGGGAGACCTGGAAGAAGCTCCTGGCTCCTGGCTTCGGATCGGCTCAGCTCTGGCTGTTGCGGCCATTTGGGGAGTGAATGGAAGATCTCTCTCTCTCTGCCTCTGCGTTTCAAATAAATAAATAAATCTTTAAAAAAATAAAAATTAAAAAGATTTATTTGAAAGGAACAGTGACAAAGAGAGGTAGAGACAGAGAGGGAGGGAGAGGTCTTCTGTCTGCTGGTTCACTTTCCACATGCTTGCAAAAACTGGTGCTGAGCCAGGCCCAAGTGAGGAGCCAAGAATTCCATTCAGGCCTCCTACATGAATGGCAGGAACACATGAACTTGGGCTATCGTCTGCCACCTCCCAGGTACATTAACAGGAAGCTGGATCAGAAGTCTGGAGCAGCCAGGACTTGACCTGGCACTCTGATAACAGATGTGGGCCCAAGTGGCTGCTTAACCACTGTGCATAATGCCCTATGTTGTTGTGTCCTCTTATTTATAGTCACTGGAAAATTAAATTCTCCTGAGGCTGGCTCAGGAACCACTGTTCCTCTGAGGACACCTGCTTTTGCAGGCTAGTGAGAGGCTGACTGTAACCTCTAGAAATAAGGAGGCCGAGCTGACAGGACAGGCTGATTGTGCAGTCAGAGATCAACTGTGAGCACACCCTCAGGGTGGAGTTCACTTGTGTCTACAGCATCCCATGGTGGGTCTGCCTGTATCCAGTCACAGGGTTGAAGGCATCAGTACCTCCATCATTTTCCTTTTCAGAGTTTTTCTGTTAGATTAATTCCGGGCCAGTTTACATTTCTGATGCTATTATATTTTTCTTCATTTTTTTGACAGGCAGAGTGGACAGTGTGTGAGAGAGAGAAAGGTCTTCCTTTTGCCGTTGGTTCACCCCTCAGATGGCCGCTAAGGCCGACGCATCACGCTGATCCGAAGGCAGGAGCCAGGTGCTTCTCCTGGTCTCCCATGCGGGTGCAGGGCCCAAGGACCTGGGCCATCCTCCACTGCACTCCCTGGCCACAGCAGAGAGCTGGCCTGGAAGAGGGGCAACCAGGATAAAATCCAGGGCCCCGACTGGGACTAGAACCCGGGGTGCTGGCGCCACAGGCGAAGGATTAGCCTAGTGAGCTGCAGCGCCGGCCCTGATGCTATTATAAACATTATCTTTTAAAAAGTTTCAGGGCCAGTGCTGTGGTGTGGAGGGTCTTGTAGTGCCAGCATCCCATATGGGCACTGGTTCAAGTCCTGGCTGATCTACTTCCAATCCAGCTCCCTGCTAATGTGCCTGGGAAAGCAGTAGAAGGTGGCCCAAGTGCTTGGGCCCTTGCACCCACATGGGAGACCTGGAAGAAGCTCCTGGCTCTTGGCTTCAGATCAGCCCAACTCCAGCCATTGTGGCCATTTGGGGAATGAACCAGCAGATGGAAGACTCTCTCTCACTCTCTATAACTCTGACTTATAAATAAATAAATAAATAAATAAATAAATCTTCTAAAAAATGTTTCACTTTTGTTTCTGATGAATAGAAATACAAATGATTGCTTATCTTGCAATACTGGTAAACTGTCTTGTGAATTTTATTCAATCTTTTTCCCAAGTTGACAGTCTTTATGTTTTCCAATTGTCGTAGCTTTAGTTTTATTGTTTTACTTTGCCTTGTTTCATACGTGGGGCCTCAGCACTGTGCTATATGGATGCAAGGACCATGAGCTTCTTTCTCTTCTCTTGACTCAGGAGCTTTCAGTCTTCACCAGGAGTATTAGGTTGAGAAATTCCCTTCTATGTTTACAATGCCTTTTTTTTTTTAAATGATCTATTTATTTGTAAGGCAGAGAGAGAAAGAGAGAGAGAGAGAGAGATCGATCCTCCAGCCATTGGTTCACTACCAAATGGCTACAATGGCTGGTGCTGGGCTAGGCTTAAGCCAGGGGCCTAGAATGCTATCTGGGTCTCCCTTGTGGGTGGCAGAGGCCCAAGCAATTGGGTCATCACCTACTGCTTTCTTTTTTTTTTTTTAACTTTATTTTTAAATTTTTTTTTGACAGAGTGGACAGTGAGAGAGAGAGAGACAGAGAGAAAGGTCTTCCTTTTCCGTTGGTTGACCCTCCAATGGCCGCTGCGGCCGGCGCACCGCGCTGATCCGAAGCCAGGAGCCAGTTGCTTCTCCCATGGGGTGCAGGGCCCAAGGACTTGGGCCATCCTCCACTGCACTCCTGGGCCACAGTAGAGAGCTGGGCTGGAAGAGGAGCGACCGGGACAGAATCCGGCACCCCAACCAGGACTAGAACCCGGTGTGCCGGCGCCGCAGGCAGAGGATTAGCCTAGTGAGCCGCGGCGCCGGCTACCTACTGCTTTCTGAAACACATCAGCAGGGAGCTAGATCGTAACTGGGGCAGCCCGAACTCAAAGTGGCACTCTGACATGCAACCTGCTGCACCACAATGCTAGTCCCTGCTTCATCTTTTCTAAGTCAATAAAGTAACACTCAAAACCTGCACATCCCATCAGAACCAGACATGGGTAATGCTCCAATCTAGTCTCTTCCTGGCCCTGCATGCCTGCCTTTCTTCCCGTGCACCCAGTTCTACCACCTGTCTAGATTCACTCCTACACTCACTTCCTGCCATGGACAATGACCTTCCTGTGTGTCGGCACCTCCCAGCCTATGGATTTCTTTTGACAGGTGAGGCCTGACAGACCATGCCCATGTGGAAGCAATCCTGTCAGCAATTCAGCCTAAGTTCAGTCCACAGCTTTGCTCGGGACCTGCTTAGTCCTAAGTGAAGGAGGGGCCAGCTCTCCTCACTCACCTGAGTAATTACTCCCTGGGCGCTGGCTCTTCTCAGCCCCCTGGCCATCCAGAACCCATGGGTCTTCCCCTCGTTCCAGCTGGGAGATCACGATGGGCTTAGATCCTGGAATTCCTGTTCATAGGGAGGGAAGTCCTTTTACAACATTTACCAAGCCACCTGGACATGAAGATTGGTTGGATCAACCTCCTGCTGGAGTTGAACCCCACGGAAGCAACTGGGCGACCTCCAAGACTAGCCTGAGGCCCCCACCCTATGGCCTCCTAAGCCCCTTCCCCCAGTCCAACATCCAACACAGAGACGAGGCCTGCTCAGGGGTCTTACCCAGTGAAACCACGTTCCCATACGTCTCCATCATCACGTTTCGGTAGAGGCCCCTCTGAGCAGGGCCCAGCTGGTCCCACTCTTCCTGGGAGAGGAGCACAGCCACATCATCGAAGGTCACCTTGGCCTGCAATGACAGGAGCTTTTGCCAGCTAAGATGGAATCTCGACTTCTGTGATGGGAGCAGGTGCTGCGCCAGGTGGGCTGGGAGTCGAGGAGGTGACAGGGAGGGGCCGTGGAGTTCAGGGGCTGCGGTAGTGCTCAGGCTGCCACAGGGGCTCTGGGCATGGAGAGAACCACGGGAGCTTTGGTGAAGGGCCCTGCACAGACCTTGAGGATGGCTCACCTGAAGTCCTGCTGACGGTGGCAAAAGCTTGGCTGCCGCCATCTTTCAGTCTTCTGGGGCCTCTGAGGACAGAAGCTGGAGGAGCCTGTGGGGCCGAGAGAGAGGAGGGAGCACGTGAGGGGCCTAGTGTTGCTTACCACAGGTGCCTCTTTCCTATGAGCTCATGGGGTCCATGGTCCTTTGCGCAAATTAGCAAAAAGGTGCTGAGGAGAGGCCTAGGAGCTGCAGCCCTGCAGTGCCAAGATCTCTGAGCACTGGGCACAGACATGTGCTTTCCCTGGAGCTTCCAGGTTCCCAAGTCTTCACCTCTAAGACCCTTGGGGTTCTTGTGGCTGATCACACCTGTGTGGGGGTCAGTGAGAGATTGCTCACTTTGGCCCTGGCCCACAGTTCTGCCTGTGAACAAGGACAGCCACTCTCCAGGGAAACCACATGTTCTTGACCAATCACTCATACCAGGTGTCTGAGGGCTGTGGGCATCAGGCCCAACGGTTTCCCAATACCATTCCAAGGAGAGACTGGCCACCAGGGGGGGAAGTGAATGGCTCCACTCAAGGCCCATATTCTAGCAGAAACCTCAGCCTCCAGGCCCTCCGTCATGCTTGGACATCCTCAGGTAGCCCTGGTGCTTGGGGAAATGGCCACTGCTAGGTGAACAGAATCCAGAGTGATGCAGGGATTTGGTCTGAGCACCTGCAGGAGGCTTGGGGGGTAAGCAGGTGCTGGCTTCTCTCCAGGGCAAGGTAAGCTGAGGTATATGACATGTACCCAATGACCAGGAGAAGGAGGGCCCGAGAACTCTCCCAGCAATTGATTCTGTAGCAAACAGGTTCACAGGAGTGTTGAGATCAACAAGCAACAGAGAAATAGAAACCCAGCAAGCGACCAAGGGATATGGATCACTCCCGAAGAAATGCAGGACACAACGAACGCTCTTGTGTCCTCATCTCAGCTGGGCACCGTGCTGACCTTCATATAAGAACACAGTGGGTGGTATCACCTGGAAGAAAGGCCTGGGGGCAGGAAGTCGAGACATCACAACTCTATCTTCTTTATAAACCTCAGATATATGTGTATATTTTCATAGCCAACAATAATCTGCCAACGGCTACCTCTGAGGAAAAGGATGGAAGACTTGACTGTCAAGAGGCCAACTCTCAATCTGTCCTGTCCTCCAAACTGCCCATTCCCCAGATGTGCGTGTAGGTTTCTGTGCAAGAGCAACACAAGTCTAACTATAATTACAAAGGAGGATTTCTTTCTTAAAAGATGTATTTACTTGAAAGGCAGAGTTATAGAGAGAGAGAAGGCGAAACACAGAGAGATCTTCCATCCGCTGGTTCACTCCCCAAATGGTCCCAACGACTGGGGCTGGGCCAGGCTGAACCCTGGAGCTTCTTCTGGGTTTCCCACGTGGGTGCAGGGGCCCAAGCACTTGGGCCATCCCCTGCTGCTTTCCCAGGCACATTAGCAGGGAGCTGGATTGGAGGGGGAACAGCGGGGACTTGAACCAGCGTTCATGTAGGATGCCAGTGCTAAAGGCTGTGGCTTTAACCTGCTGTGCCAGAGCCGGTCCCCCAAAGGGGGATTTTAAAGGAGTGAATAAGACCTAGAATTCATATGAATATGGATGCTGGAGAATAGGAAAGGATGGTGGTGGGGCCTTCCAGTTACCAGGAGCCACTGCCATCAAGCCAGCCAGCTGTTGACACAGGGGCAGAAGCAGGCAGACTCATATTGGGAATTTAAGACAACAAGTTGCACTGTCAGTTCAATAGGAATCCAATATGGGATGCAAAACAACCACTTTCAATTCATGTTAGGACTAAGCGTGACAGTGACAAAGCCTCCCTGCTCTGCTGTCAGCCTCCTCCTCCTGGCACTCACCCACTGTTCTTTCCCAACACATTCTGACCCTTGCTGTGTGTTGCTCACCACCACAGACCTGCCCCTTCTCTCACCACCCAGTCATTCTCCCAGGGACCACACCTTCGTCCAGCAGTCTCTCGTTATGCTGTCCCCCTCCCTCAGGGGACACCATCTCCACAGGATGTACACTCTCCTATCTCTGAAGCATCTCCTTTGGTCCTGAGCCAAAGCCGTGTCAGTACCTGGTCACCAGCCATCTACTATTGGCAACAGGAACACAGTCAGTTTCCTGGGCCCTCCTCAAGCCCCTCCCCTCGGACCCTTCCATTCTTGTCTGAAAGTGAATTTGACCTTTGATTCCCTGAAAATCTGGCAGAGGTGATGGCCACTCCCACTATGGCCCAACCACATCTGGACTGGAACACAATGATGAATACCAACAGGAACCACACTCAGGGCCTGATAGGCAGGTTTTGTGGCTGGTTCAATGGACAGCTGGTCCAGGCCAACTTCCACTTTTGCCTGTGCACCTGAGCTGCAGGATGTCTGCATGGTCATCCGAGCGGAACGTGCAGCTGATGCCGCTGAGCTGGTGTTCTCCCTTCCTCTAACTCAACGCCTCCACTTGAATGTCTTGCAGCATCTCGGACCCTTATTTCCCACACTGAGCCTCTCCTCAGCTCCCCATTATGTCTCTAGCTTGTTCTGCGAACATGCGCATAAGCCCCCTTTCCTTCTCCCTCTCTCACATCCCACTCCTATTCTACTTTCTGAACACGCTGCCCACCCCACTTTCCTTGCCCAGGACCATCCCCTTGCGATTGCTTTCATGGAGCCCAGTATGATCCTACATCTGCCCAGCCCTCACTCAGTCCTACCATGGGGACAGTGATTGTCCACTGGCCTGAGGTCCCCACCAGGTCCTATGAGGTCACAATCTTTTTCAGACCCCTGAAGCCCCTCCATTCTCTCCAGAGGCCTCAGCCCCACCCAGCTCTCCCATCACTGCTCCCTGCTGTATCAGTAGGCCCAGCAGAGGAGCCAGTGGTTGAACATTTACTGTTAATTCATGGAGTTAGAAAACCCATGAGATTGTAGCTTACACCCTTCAGAAAAGCACCAAGACCTGAACGCTTACTGGCAAGGCAAGGCAGTCGACTCTTCCACTGTCTTAGGAAGGTCATCTGGCTGCATTTAGGCCAATCAGGTAGGCCCTTCAATAGAGGGTGCCCTACACAGATTTGAGGATGCTGACACAGCAAGTGCCACCACAGTTCTTTCACACACAGGCCATGCACATGCTGAAGAGAGATAGACGCTGTGGCGGGCTACTGGACGAGTGTGTCCAAGTGCAGGCTGGAGCCAGCATGTAGATGATGATCCTGTTTGGTAAACCATGACTCCAAGCCCCAGAAGACTTTCACAGGGACCTGGGGCTGACCACCCTGCCTTACCTGTAAATCTGGGAGATGGCATACCCTTTTCAGGGCCCCACTAGGACACCATGGTTAGTGACAGTGCTCAGAGCTGGACACTGTTGGCCAAGGTGTTGTCAGGTCTGATGCAGTCAGATTCACATGCAAGAAGACTCTGAAAGACTACACCAGGTGTTGGCTTATGTGTGGCAAGGAGAGGGAGAAGGGGAGACTGCCATGTGGGATAAGTCTTAGAAAAGCACAAAAATGAAAGCTTCATCAGGGACAGCTTTCCCATACTGCCAAGTCAAAAAGGTGTATCAAAACTAAGTATATATCATGCTAAAAGATGGATAAAATGAATTTAAAAAGTGACACTAAATAGTTAAGTTTTTCTTGGGAGTTTATATATATATATATTTATTTATTTATTTGAGAGGCAGAGTTACAGAGAGGGAGAGGTTTTCCATCTGCTGGTTCACTCTCCAAATGGCTGCAATGGCTGGAGCTGAGCCAATCAGAAGCCAGGAACCAGGAGCTTCTTCCAGGTCTCCCACATGGGTGCAGGGGCCTAAGGGGTTGGGCCATCTTCTATTGGTTTCTCAGGCCATGAGGAGGGAACTAGTTCAGAAGTGGAGCAGCTAGGGCTTGAACCAGTGCCTAAATGGGATTCCAGCCCTGCAGGCAGACTTAGCTACAATGCCACAGCACCAGCCCCAAGTTTTTCTTTTTTTTTTCATTTTGGCAGATAAACGTCTGGGACTTCTGAAATACGCAATCCAGACAAACACAGTGGTCCTTAAGCTGAACCTCACATCAAAAAGGCAAGGAAACACAGAGCTATCTGGGGGAATAGAAACTGGTTTTTAATTATCCCTTCATGCCCCAGAATCACGAGGCTCAACCTCGGGCTTTACCCTGTAAGAACACAGGAGCTCAGGAGAAAAAAAATGGTATGGTCAGTTTTTAAAATATTATAATCCTGAGCTGGCGCTGTGGCTCACTAGGCTAATCCTCCGCCTTGCGGCGCCGGCACACCGGGTTCTAGTCCCGGTCAGGGCGCCGGATTCTGTCCCGGTTGCCCCTCTTCCAGGCCAGCTCTCTGCTGTGGCCAGGGAGTGCAGTGGAGGATGGCCCAGGTCCTTGGGCCCTGCACCCCATGGGAGACCAGGATAAGTACCTGGCTCCTGCCATCGGATCAGCGTGGTGCGCCGGCCGCAGCGGCCACTGGAGGGTGAACCAACGACAAAGGAAGACCTTTCTCTCTGTCTCTCTCTCTCACTGTCCACTCTGCCTGTCAAAAAAAATAATAATAATAATCCTAGGGGTTGGTGCTGTGGCATAAGGGGTAAAGCTGCCACCTGCAGTGCCAGCATCCCATATGGGCGCTGGTTTGAGTCCTGGCTGCTCCACTTCCAATCTGGCTGTCTGCTTATGGCCTGGGAAGGCAGTAGAAGATGGCCCAAGTCCTTGGGCCTCTGCACCTACATGGGAGACCTGCAAGAAGCTCCTGGCTCCTGGCTTCAGATGACACCAACTCCAGCCACTGTGGCCATTTGAAGAGTGAACCAGCAGATGGAAGACTCTCTCTCTCTGCCTCTCTGTAACTCTGCCTTTCAAATAAATAAATAAATAAATAAGTCTTTAAAAAATTATAATCCTGACTCATAACAAGTCCTATAAGCATACTGGGACAGGCAGGGAATAACAGCCAGAGTGTGGGAAACACGGGATGAGGAGCCTCCTTGAGGGGTTTGCCATCACCTGCACTTGGGTAAACACAACATGCATCCATGTAGCATCATGGCTGCATATGACCCCACCCACTGTTCAAAAAGGTGGCAGTAGCATAACCGGTTCATTCTTCAGATTCAGGAATTTTGCTTTTGAGTCTCCTGAGGAAATAATCCAAAACAAAGCCAAACCAGGTCAAGGTTCTCAGCAGCAGTGATCACTTAAGGCAAACTAGAAAGACGCCACATTCAGCGACCGTCCAGAGACAGGGACTGAAACAGGACCCAACAACGTGAACAGCGTGGACTCCGATGTTTCCTTTGTGTTTTGTAAGCTGAACTTTGGAAACCTGTCACCCCCTGGAATTCCTGACAGCCCTGCTGAAATGCAACAGATAGCCTGCTCTCCCAGCCCACATGCTGGGACAGGACGTCCTCCCTTCCTCTTCACCATCCTCACTCTCTTGGCTTCTTGCTAGCAAGCCCCACTCCCTCTGCACCTCCAGCCGGGCTGGACCCCGCACTCCAGGCTGGCAGTACTTTCAGAAGAGGAAGCTCTGGAGGCAGCTGTGAGCACCAGGCAGAACACTGCACAATGTGACACCTGCAATCTCCCCACAGTAATGATCAGAACTATGTATCCAAACTGACAGCTTTCCCATACACCAGCCAACACTGGCCAGGAAAAATAAAGGGGAAGAAGAGTCTATTTACAAATAACAACAAGAAACAAGCTAAAATTTTAGAAATGCACAAATACCCACGAAGAGAACTATAAAACCTTTTGAATAACAAGACACCCCCAAAAAACATACATGCCAGGTCTCGAAAATAAAGACCAGACACCACAGACCAGAGATGTTAATCTGTCCACTGTATAAACAAGGTTAAAACATTTCAGTTTACCAGGCGTAAGGTTTATGGACACCAAGTACTCTTACACTCATTTGAGAGAAGAGTCAAAATACTGGGGCATCTCAGAGAAAAGGAGACAGGAGATGGCTAAGGGAGGGGCTTAGTCAGCCAGGAAGATAAGGTTGCTGTATGGGCCTGGGTGAGAGTGGGCAGGCAGCTCAGTAGCAGTACAGAGCAGGGTCAAGTTTGGCTGGAAGATTCAAATCGCAAGATGATTCATTAAGTCCTGCTAGGATGGGTTAAACATTTTTGGGGAAGAGAAAGTTAACGTTACATGAAGCTCAACAAACTACCACAAATTAGACCAAAGGCATTGATATAAAAATTAAAAGGGCAGGAAAAAAATTACATAATTCCATATGATGTACAGAAAGGCTAATGGATCTATATGCATGAGTTAAAAACTTCAAATTTTACAAAGACCTTGAATAACTATAGGCAAATTTTCTTTATTTTATGTGGGGTGGTCCTGTCTAAGCAAAATATTCAAAGCAGAAAGTCTGGGGTCAAAGACCCCCAGACCTACAAGTCATAAAGCAAAATCTTAGCTGTCACCGCGGCTCACTTGGCTAATCCTCTGCCTGTGGCGCCAGTACCCCAGGTTCTAGTCCCCGTTGGGGTGCCGGATTCTGTCCCGGTTGCTCCTCTTCCAGCCCAGCTCTCTGCTGTGACCCGGGAAGGCAGTGGAGGATGGCCCAAGTGCTTGGGCCCTGCACCCGCATGGGAGACCAGGAGGAAGCATGTGGCTCCTGGCTTCGGATCAGCGCAGTGTGCTGGCCTTGGCGGGCATTTGGGGGGTGAACCAACGGAAAGGAAGACCTTTCTCTCTCTCTCTTTCACTGTCTAACTCTGCCTGTCGAAAAAAAAAAAAATCTTATTGTGCACATCAAAGCCACGTTAAACTCCAGAAATGGGCCCAAAGCCACGTTAAACTCCAGAAATGGGCCTAAAGACACTACAGAATTTAATATATAACTAAGGCAGCTTTTCAAATCAGTGGAAAGATATATTATTCAACAAATGGTGCTAGAAATGGCTATGGTTTAGGGGGAAAGCAGCTGGATTTGAAATTCCCCCCACACCAAAATAAATTCCAGATGGACGCAATATTTTATAAATACTAGAGAAAAAGAAGACTTTATTTAAAAACCATCTTGGGTAGAAACAGCCCTTCAAAACACAGCACAAAGCCCAAAGTCCTTAGGGAAAATATCTGACCATTAAAAATTTAAAATTTACCCCCCCCGAAATCCAAACCAGAACACCACAATCGGAGCCAAATGACGAATTGAGAAGCATGTTCTCAACACCGGCCCATCAAGAAGGGAACACAAACGGATAATACACAAATGCGGACCCCAACCTCCCCAAGAAGACGTGCGCCCCGACCGCGCGCCCCGCCCCGCCGCCCGGGTGCACCCCGCGGAGCCGGGGAGGAGCCCACGGCCAGGACCGGAAAGTGCCCAGCCGGCAGGGGGCGCTGCGCGCCCGCGCTGACAACAGAGAAAAGGGTGTGTGCGGGCGCCGCGCCGCAGCCTCGCAATCCTGACAGGGCGCCCGCGGCTCGCGGCACCCTGAGAGGCCACGGACACACGGGGCGGCGTTCGCTGCGACACGCGTTGGTCTCCGCCGGGGCGCCCGCCGGCCCAGCCTCGCCTGCCGCTCGAGCGCTGTGAACGCCAAGGAAACCTCCGATTCTGTATTTGCGGGACCCACCCCGCCTGCCCGGCCTGTCCGCGGCGCCAGGGGCGGCCCGGGGGACCCTGCCAGCGCCCTCGGGCTTGGGCCAGGGTTGGGCGCCCGGTCGCTTCGCCGGGGTTGAGAGAGGGTCGCCCAGGCGCAGGCCGCGGCCAGGGAGAGGGGTGGGGACCCGGCGCGGCCTCGGCCGGGCGCAGGGCAGCGCGTGCCTGCGGGGAGGCGTCCGATCCACCGGGAGGACGCGCCGACGCGCGTGTCCGAGAAGGAGAGGGTGCCGTCCGGCACGCGCCCCAACTCACCGTCCACGCCGCAGCCTCACGCGCGAAGGGACGGGCGCCTGCAGCGCCCTCAGACAAAGGGGCCGCTCCGCCCCGCGTGTGCAGCCGCCAATCGCCGCGAGACACGCCCCCTCAGGCCCCGCCCCACCGCCGCGACCACCAATCCTGGAGCGCGACGCCTGCCGGTCCCGTCCTCTGCCCCGCCTCGCCCTCCGGGCGCCTTTCTGGGTTGTGGACACCTGGGCCGCGCTCCAGAGCCACCGAGCGCCGAGGCCTCCCTGTGCTAGAGAGGCCACGCTGCGCTCCGCGCGGGCCTTCCGGGGACCCGGCCGCACTTCCGGGTGCCTCCGCAGGCGCCGCCCTTCGAGCCTCTGGCGCTGGCGAGCTGGGCTGCCCGGCCTCTGCGGTCGCCGAGCGGATGGAGCCCGCCCTTGGCCCCCTGCCGCCGCCCCTCAGCCCGCTCCCGGCGCAGAGCCCTTAACTCTCGCGGTCCCCACCGCCAGGAGCGAGCTTCCTGCGTCTCTCCCGCTGCCTGCCGCCGCCTTGGCTGACGTGTCGCCCTCGGCTCTCTCCCCCGTCATCGTTTCGTCTGCGGCCTGTCAGGGTGAGCGTAGTGACGTCAGAGGCCCCGGCTCTGCTCACGGCTGTGCCCTGGTGAGTCCGAGCCGCGGGCAGTGCCTCCGACGCCGGTTCTGTGCGGGTCAGGCGCGCTCGGCCGGTGTCTGGCTGCCTCCCTCGGCTTAAAGTCTCCGCAGCTCCAGCTGTTAACCTGGCTGCGCACCAGACTCACGAGGTCCTTCATCTCGCTGCAGAAGGCATCCTGACGTCCGTCTTCCCGTGAGGGACCCCAGGCCCAGAAAGCTGGACAGGAGCTGACCATGCGCCTCTCAGCACCAGCTTGGGGAGCCCGGCGCCTCGCTTTGCCGTTTGCAGTGAGCACCCACTGTCCTGCCTCCCCGACGTCAGGGACCGGCGTTGGGCCCTGGTCTGGTCCCGGTGGGCGGTCGTCAGTCTGTAGGAGCTGTTCGGTGTGTTTAAACCCGCGCGCCTGGGGAGGTGTGGGCCAGGGAAGGGCGCAGGCACACTAAGCAAGAAGGGACTGAGCGCAGGGCTGGGCTGGCTCGCAGTAGGTGTGAGGGAGGGGCCCTGCCTGCTGAGATGCGCCCCTCACCCCAGGACAGACCACGGTCTGCGGCTCAGAGGCTTTCAGGAAGACCTTCTCACCTGGACCGGGCTAGGGGCAACCGGGAAATTGTGCGGGTGTGGGCGAGCCTGTCTGATGCGGAGACCCGGGTCACGGGGCGGGAAGGATGTGGCAGGCTAGGCGCCAAGCCCTGGAGCGTCCAGGAGCCTTAGCTCAACAGCAGGGTGGGGCAGTGACCTCGGCTCCCCTCCACCAGGGGGCGGTGGGGCTCACACCAGGGTCGTCGTAGCCACGCCCCCTTCCTGGACTGCCCTGGGTGGTTTGGCCGGTTGATGGGACTCTGCTCCAGAAACCTTGGTCCTAACTCAGATCAGTGCATCCTGTTTTCCTTCTCCTCCTCCTCAACTTTACATTTTTCCAGTGTTTCTATATTCATAAAGGTCGAAAGAATAATGCAATGCTTACCTGTATGCCTTTTGCTCAGATTCAGCAGCTAACATCCTAGCACATCTTGTTTGTACAAAACTCTGCCACCTCTTCTCTTTTCATTTCAACCAACACAGTGTTTATTTGTCGAGTGCCTCTGTGTGCTAAGCACTGGGGTACGTCAGTGAACAAAAACAACACTGCTAACACATCTGTGTCCTCCCATACCTTGAGTGTGAACGGGGACAGCAAGCAATACACAGAATAAATGCGGGAATTCCAGAGGGCGTCCAGAGTTGGTGAGGGCACATTGGCTCACTTGGGTGGCATGTGGCAGCCACAGTCTGCACCTGCCCCATCGCCCTTTGGCTCTAGCTTTTTCCCTAAGGGTTTTCAGCCCCAGCAGTTCCACATTTTCTCCACTTTACACCCCTTTTCTTTCCCAAATACCTTCCCTGTTCCAGCATTAAGGTAAAAACAGCAGCCTTACAGGAATTATTAACTATATCCTGCAATTTGTGTGGTCCAGTGTGATTTCTGTCTTTTCTCAGCTTCTCTGATTGGATCCTAATGCAGTGTGCTTGTAAACCACACACACATTCCTACATTGTAAAGTGAATGGAGAATTAAAAATTTGGTTCCTTTTCCTATTACACCTACATTTACTTCCTTTGTTGTTCACACTTTTGATTACATAATGAATTAAGGCCTGTCATCAACTCTGCTTAATACAGTTAAATATAATTATGATTATGATTTCAGATGCCCAAATTGGCATAACAAGTCAGAGGGAACCCCTGAGCTTTGTTACTTTGTACTCAAATCTACTCTTTTTTTCTTTTTAACGATGAACTTTTTTAAAAAAAATATTTATTTATTTATTTGAGGTAGAGTTACAGAGAGGGAGAGACAGAGAGAAAGGTCTTCCATCTGCTGATTCACTCCCTAGATGGCCACAATGGCTGGAGCTGAGCCAATCCAAAGGCAGGAGCCAGGAGCTTCTTCCGGGTCTCCCATGCTGGTGCAGGGGCCCAAAGACTTGGTCCATCTTCTACTGCTTTCCCAGGCCATGGGCAGAGAGCTGGATTGGAAGAGGAGCAGCCAGGGCATGAACCAGCGCCCTTATGGGATGCTGGCACCACAGGTGGATGCTTAGCTCACTGTACCACAGCACTGGCCCCTAACTGAACTTTTATATATTTTATTATTATTATTATTATTAAGGATTTATTTGAGAGGCAGAGAGAGATGTCTTCTATCACTGGTTTGCTCCCCAGATTGCTGCAATGGCCAGAGCTGAGCCATTCCAAAGCCAGGAGCCAGGAGCTTCTTCCAGGTCTCCCACCTAGGTGCAGGGGCTCAAGCACTCGAGCCATCTTCTACTGCTTTCCCAGGCCACAGCAGAGAGCTGGATCGGAAGAGGAGCAGCTGAGACATGAACTGGTGCCCTTATGGGATTCTGGTGCCACAGCCCCGGCCCCTACTTATTATTTTTGAAAGGCAGACAAAGGTGGAAGAAGAGCACTTCAGTCTGCTGATTGATCTCCAGATCCCCAAAGTAGCCAGGGCTGGGCCAGGCCAAAGCCAGGAGCCTGGAACTCAGTACAGGTCTCTCACATGGATGGCAGGGATCTAAGGACTTGCACCATCACTCACTGTATCCAGGGAATGCATCAGCAGAAGGTGAAATTGGAAGTGGAGATGGGACTTTGATACGTGATGTGGGAGTACGTAGTGGTGGCTTACATGATAGGCCAAGGGGTTGTCACTGTGGCGTAGCAGGTTAGATCACCAGGCGGCATCCCATATGGGCACTGGTTTGAGTCCCAGCTGCTCCACTTCTGATCCAGCTCCCTGCTGATGCTTCTAGGAAAGCAGCAGAAGATGGCCCAAGTCGTTGGGCCCTTGCACCCACGTGGGTGATCCAGAAGAAGCTCCTGGTTTGGCTTGGCCTAGCTGCAGCCATTGTGGTCATTTGTGGGAGTGAACCAGTGGATAGAAGACCTCTCTGTATTGTTAAAAAAAAAATGCTAGGCCAAATTCCTGCCCCCTACTCTGCTTTTTGACCACAGGGTGTTCAAGGGATTCCTACTTTTCTGGACTGCAGATATGAATTCAGCCCCCTCAGGAGCTCTGATTGTTATTTGTGGAAAAGATCATCAGAGGCCAAAGTCTAGCTCTAAGAGTGCACCTAAGGTTTCTGGTGTATCGTTAAAGTACCATGCTGGAGGCCGGCGCCGTGGCTCAATAGGCTAATCCTCCACCTAGCGGCGCTGGCACACCGGGTTCTAGTCCCCGTCGGGGCGCCGGTTTCTTTCCCGGTTGCCCCTCTTCCAGGCCAGCTCTCTGCTGTGGCCCAGGAAGGCAGTGGAGGATGGCCCAAGTGCTTGGGCCCTGCACCCCATGGGAGACCAGGAGAAGTACCTGGCTCCTGCCTTCGGATCAGTGCGGTGCGCCGGCCGCAGCGCGCCAGCTGTGGCGGCCATTGGAGGGTGAACCAACGGCAAAAGGAAGACCTTTCTCTCTGTCTCTCTCTCTCACTGTCCACTCTGCCTGTCAAAAAAAAAAAAAAAAAAAGTACCATGCTGGAAACTGTCATTTAAAGGTGTTCACACAGCCTGTGTTGGGGTACAGCAGGTAAAGCCATCATCTACAACACCAGTATCCCAGATTGGCACAGTTTGAGTCCCTACTGCTCTGCTTCCAATCCAGCTCCCTGCCAATGTGCCTGGGAAGGCAGCAGAGAATAGCCCAAGTACTTGGGTCCCTGTCACCTATGTGGGAGAACCCCAATGGTGTTCCTGGCTCCCGGCTTTGGCCTGGCCAAGCCCCAGTCCTTGTGGCCTTTTGGAGACTGAACCAGCGGGTGGAAGATTCTCTCTTTCTTTCTCTTTCAAATGAATAAATCTTAAAAAAAAAAAAAAAATTCACATTGATTTTTTTAAACCTTTTTTTTTTTTTTTTTGACAGACGAAGAGAGACAGAGAGAAAGGTCTTCCTTTTTCCATTGGTTCATCCCCCAAGTGACCACTATGGCTGGTGCATTGTGGCTGGTGCACTGCGCTGATCCGAAGCCAGGAGCCAGGTGCTTTCTCCTGGTCTCCCATGCAGGTGCAGGGCCCAAGGACCCGGGCCATCCTCCACTGCACTCCCGGGCCACAGCAGAGAGCTGGACTGAAAGAGGAGCAACCAGAACAGAATCCAGCGCCCCAAATGGAACTAGAACCCGGGGTGCTGGCGCCACAGGCGGAGGATGAGCCTAGTGAGCCATGGCGCTGGCCAAACCAGTTTAACATGTTACAGTTCCAGGATTGGCATTGACTATATGCAGTAGAAACTTGGCCACAATGACTTAACCTAACAGGCATTTTATTTGTTTTCCAGGAATAAGAAGTCCAGAAGTTGGCTGTCCAAGGCCCCACAATGCTACTAGGCCCCTAGGTTGGCCCTTTATTTATTTATTTTTTCAAAGATTTTATTTATTTATTCAAAAGAGAGTTACACAGAGAGAAGAGAAGCAGAGAGAGAGAGAGGTCTTCCATCCACTGGTTCACTCCCCAGCTGGCTGCAATGGCTGGAGCTGCGCCAATCCGGAGCCAGGAGCCTCTTCTGGGCCTCCCACGTGGGTGCAGGGGCCCAAGACTTTGGGCCATCCAGGCCATAGCAGAGAGCTGGATTGGAAGAGGAGCAGCCGGGACTAGAACTGGCGCCCAAATGGGATGCCAGTGCTTCAGGCCAGGGCGTTAACCCGCTGCACCATAGCACCGGCCCCAGGCTGCCTCTATTTACCACTGGCCATTTTTGTTTGTTTGTTTGAAAAGATTTAGTTATTTTTTATTTGAAAGGCAGAGTTACAGGGAGAGGAAGAGAGACAAAGATATCTTCTGGGGAGAGAGAGAGTGAGAGATCGTGAGCTCGCTCTCCCTCCCCTCCATCAGTTCGAAATGCTTGCAATAGTTTTCAAATATCTGTTAATCCAGATCTCCCAGTGTGAGTAGCAGGAATCCAATTATTTGAGCCATCACTTGCTGCCTCCTAGTGACTGACAAAAAGAAGTTGGAGTCAGGACCTGGAGGTGGATAACAAATCCAGGTACTCTGATGTAAGATGTGGGATTTTTTTTTTTTTTTTTTTAAGATTTATCTACTTATGGGGCTGGCGCTGTGGCACAGTGGGTTAACGCCTTGGCTTGAAGTGCTGGCATCCCATATGGGCGCCAGTTTGAGAACTGGCTGCTCCACTTCCAATCCAGCTCCCTGCTATGGCCTGGGAAAGCAGTAAAAGATGGCCCAAGTGCTTGGGCCCCTGTACCTGCATGGGAGACCTGGAAGGAGCTCCTGGCTCCTGATTGGCGCAGCTCTGGCCATTGTGGCCAATTGTGGAGTGAACCAGCAGATGGAAGACTTCTCTCTCTCTCTCTACCTCTCCTCTCTCTGTGTAACTCTTTCAAATAAATAAATAAATCTTTTTTTTTTTTTTTTTTTTTTTTTTTTTTACAGAGTGGACAGTGAGAGAGAGAGACAGACAGAGAGAAAGGTCTTCCTTTTTGCCATTGGTTCACCCTCCAATGGCCGCCGCATCGCGCTGATCTGAAGCCAGGAGCCAGGTGCTTCTCCTGGTCTCCCATGGGGTGCAGGGCCCAAGCACTTGGGCCATCCTCCACTGCATTCCCGGGCCATAGCAAAGGGCTGGCCTGGAAGAGGGGCAACCGGGACAGAATCCAGCACCCCAACCAGGACTAGAACCCGGTGTGCCAGCGCCGCAAGGTGGAGGATTAGCCTATTGAGTCACGGCACCGGCCAAATAAATAAATCTTAAAAAAAAAAAAAAAAGATTTATCTACTTATTTGAAAAAGAGAGATAGATATATTGGGCCAGGCTAAAACCAGGAACCCAGAACTCCATCTGGCTCTCCCATGTGGGTGGAAGGGGCCATCTTACACTGCTTTCCCAAGTGCATTAGCAGGGAGCTGGATTGTAAGTGGAGCAGCTGAAACTGAAACTGGAGCTCATATGGGATCCTGGTATTTTGCAGGCTGTGGCTTAGCCCACTAAGCCACAACATTGGCCCTGAGATGTGGGAATCCCAATTGGTGTCAGCCAGTAGGCTAAATGTTCAACCCAGTAACCCTTTTAAAAATGCTATGATCTGAACATCAGTGAGTATAGCATTATGTATCTGCATTCGATTGTTTTCACTTAATATCCTGGAGCTTTCAGCAGTGTGTGGAGATATCTGTCCATTCTGAGACTGTGCCTTGGTGTTTTCAAATAGCACACTGTTTTTAAAATATTTGAGAGGAAAAGACAAACACAGAGAAGCAGACAGACAGTAAGCTCCTACCTGCTGGATCATTCTCCAAATGCCCACAGTGCTGATGCTGGGCTGGATTAAAAACCAGGAGTTGAGAATGCAATATGGATCTCCCATGCAAATGGCAGGAACCCAAGTACTTGAACCATTCTCCCTGCCTTGCAGAGTGTGCATTGACAGGAAGCTGGAGTCTGGCGCTGGGAACTGAACCCAGGTACTCTGAAGTAGGACACAGCAGCTTCACAGCTGGGCTAAATGCCTGCTGCCCAACTACCCCATTATTATTGGGTGTCTGGGTTGTTTCCAGTCTTAAAATTAGTTTTGTAATAAGTTGTTGTATCCTACCTTTTTCATATTTTTGCCACTTTAATTCTAGGAAAGATTCCTACAAATTGCGTGACCAATGGACAGTTGTAAATGCATTATTGGTAAATATTGCCACTTCCCTTCCACAGGGTTGTGCATCTTGTATTCCTCCTGGTGTTGATTTTCCACAGCCTTACAAGTTAAGTGTGTCGCACAATATTTGAATTTTTTTTAATAATCTGGGAAGAAATACTTCAGTGTGGTTTAATCATTTTTCTTGTGAGTTAAGCAAATTTTCCTAAGGACTGCTGTAGTTTGGGTATGGTTCTTACCACCCTAAATCATACTGGGGCCTAGTTTTGATAGTTGGTGGGATCTTGAAGAGGTGCTTAGGTCGTGGTGGTGCCACCCCATGAAGGGGTGAGGTTTTTTCCTGTGAGAGTGGTTGTTTGGTATTCGGTGAGCCTACTCCCTCCCTACCCCCATCAGTCTGTTCTCCCTCCACTTTCTGTCCCAAGACCCTCACCAGGAGCGCAGCAGGTGCTGTGCAGGAGCTCTTGGACCTCCAGAACGGAGCCAAAATTAACCTCTTTCCTTGTGTATTTGTTACAGCAGCAGAAAACAAGGACTAAGACTAGGATTATCTACAGTTATTTTATTTGAACTGCGTTAATCTCTTGCCCATTTCCCCTCTTGTTTTATTTGTTTTTGACAAGACTTATTTAGGGGCTAGTGTTTCGGATCAGCTCAGCAGCTGGCCATTGTGGTCATTTAGGGAGTGAACCAGTGGATGGAAGACTTCTCTCTGTAACTCTTTCAGTTATAGAGAGAGAAGAGAGAGAGATCATCCATCCTCTAGTTCACTCCCCAGATGGCTGCAACAGCCAGCACTTGGCCAGGCTGAGGTCAGGAGCCAGGAGCCAGGAGCTTCATCAGGGTCTCGCATGTGGGTGCAGGGGCCCAAACACTTGGGCCATCTTCCACTGCTTTTCCCAGGCCATTGGAAGTAGAGCAGCTGGGATTCAAACCAGGGCCCGTATGGGATGCTGCACCGCAGGCCATAGTTCAGTAAACAGCAAGTCTCAGCTCTGGAAGTGGTAACCTGAGGGAATGTGTGAAGTCTGGAATTACATGTGGAAACGTTTTATCCAATTTTTTCAAATTGGTATTTTCTAGAAATTTTTTTTAAATTAAGCAACATAGAGGAAGCCACACTTGCAATCAGGGCCATCACCCCCAATGGCTTCTTATTTTTTGTTTTATTTATTTATTTTTAAAGATTTATTTATTTATTTGAAAGAGTTACACAGACAGAGTTGGACAGGCAGAGAGAGAGAGAGAGAGAGAGAAATAGAGAGAGGTCTTCCATCCACTGGTTCACTTCCCAGTTGGCCACAGCAGCTGGATCTGCACTGATCTGAAGCCAGGAGCCAGGAGCTTCCAGGTCTCCCACGTGGGAGCAGGGCCCCCAGCACTTGGGCCATCTTCCACTGCTTTCCCAGGCCACAGCAGGGAGCTGGATTAGAAGTGGAGCAGCCAGGACTGGAACCAGCGCCCATATGGGATGCCAGCACTGCAGGTGGTGGCTTTACCCGCTATGTCACAGCGCTGGCCCCCCAATGGCTTCTGTATGGTATATGGCACTGCAACCTTAGTGTCTCCCTCACTGGGCCCCAGCACATGTGTGGGGTGAGCTGGGATACTGGTTGCCACTGTAGCAGCCAGAATGCACCCTTGGGTCACATATGGTATTTGGAACTGTCAACGAGAGGGGGATAAATAAACAGGAATCAAAGTGTCTATGTGATATGGAGGTACTTCAAGAGATTTGTGGACAATGGAATTAGAAGATAGGTTTAGGGGTCAGTGTTGTGGTGAAGCTGCCACCTGTGACACTGGCATTCCACGTGGGTACCTCTGCTTCTGATCCAGCTCCCTGTTAATGTGCCTGGGAAAGCAGTGGAGGATGGCCCAAGTGCTTAGGCCCCTGTCACCCATGTGGGAGACCCGGAGAAAGCTCCTGGCTTCAGGCTTTGGACTGGCCCAGCCCTGGCCATTGTGGCCATTTCGGGAGTGAACCAGTGGATGGAAGCATTCTCTCTCTCTCTCTCTTTTAAGATTTATTTATTTATTTGAAAGAGTTACAACGAGAAGGAGAGGCAGAGAGAGACAGCAAGGTCTTCCATCTGCTGGTTCACTCCCCAACTGGCTGCATTGGCTGGAGCTGTGCTGATCCAATGCTAGGAACCAGGAGCTTCTTTCAGGTCTCCCACATGGGTACAGGGGCCCAAGGTCTTGGGCCATCTTCTGCTGTTTTCCCAGGCCATAGCAGAGAGCTGGATCTGAAGTAGAGCAGCTGGGACTCGAAGTGGTGCCCACATTGGATACCGGCACTGCAGGCAGCGGCTCTACCCGCTACACCACAGTGCCGGCTCTCTCTCTTTCTCTTTTCCTAACTCAGATTTTTTAAAAAAGAAGATAGGTTTATTTTCATGAAAAGTTTTGAAAGTCATACATTTGAGAGGTCTTTGAAAAGTTCATGAAAAAATGATGCATGCAGTGAATATTACCAAGCATTAAGTAAATAGAGAAAGTAAAACTCCTGTATTAATATTAGAAGAATTATCTGTGGATCTAAACGGGAATAAAAATTGGTACAAAACAGGATCGTCTACATAACTTGAGTATCTCTTAAAAAATACTTAATAAGAAGGGGGAATAATTTTATAGTGGAGAGGTATAGCAGTAACCATTTCAGCTGAGCAACAGATTAACAACAAAAGTGACAGTTATGGACCTCCTGTTACAACACACCGAGAACACATCTTTTCCACAATTCCTGCCAAAACCACCAAGAAACACGAGAAATTCAAGGTGAAGGACTTTCTACAAAGAAATTGACATGCGCTCTTCAAAAATTCAAATATCATGAAAGGTTAAGACAGGAACTAGTGTGGAGGGAAGGTTGTGACAACTATATATGTATGACCTCAGGCTGGATCCTGGAAGAAGAAGAGAATTTCTAATTGATATAAACAATTGGCAAAGCATTAAGGCTTATAAGTTATAGTATGTCAACACCTTTTAAAAAATCTTTAAAGATTTATTTATGTATTTGAAAGAATTATGGAGAGAGGGAGAGACAGAAAGAGCTCTTCTGTCTGCTGGTTCATCCTCAAATGGTGGCAAAGGCTGGAGGTGGGCTGATCTGAAGCCAGGACCCAGAAGTTTCACCTGGTCTCCCAGGTGGGTGGCTGGGGTCCAAGCACTTGGGCCCCAACTGCTGCTTTCACAGGCACATTAGCAGGAAGCTGGGTGAAGTAGAGCAGCTGGCACTCAAGCCAGTGTCCACATGGGATGCCAGCATTTCAGGTGGAGACTTTTAGTTGCTATACCACAGCGTGGGCCCCTCCCTCTTTTTTAAAAATGCGCGATTAATTTGAAAGGCAGAGGATCTTCCATGCATTGGCTCACTCGCCAATGGCTCCAACAGCCAGGGTTGGGCCAAGCCAAAGCCAGGAGCCTGGGACTCCACCTATGTTTCCCACGTGGATGCAGGGGCTGAAGGACTTGGGCCAGTCTTCTGTTGCAGCTTTCCTAGGTGCATTAGCAGGGAGCTGGATTAGAAGTGGTGTAGCTGGGATTTGAACTGGCCTGGATACGGGTTGTTAGAATCCCAAGTGGCAGCTTAACCCAGTGCACCACAATGCCTGCCTCAGCATTCACTTTATTTGATGACAGTACTGTGGTAGTGTTCTTAGGAAGCACATACTGAAGTTATCTGGGGTGAAGATGGATCCTGTCTGTAGCTTACTTTGTTGGGGAAAATGTCGGTGTCTACCTGCAGACAGGGAGGCAAGAGAAGACAATTACAGGTGTGGCAAAGTGTTAATTGGGGAATCTGAGTGAAAGGATATGGGTATTTTCCTTCATGAAACTATTTCAGGCTTTCCAGATTACAAAATGTAGGCCATAGTGGGTGTCTGTCATTTGTGATAGCCCAAAATGTCATGACACCTCCCCATTTTAGCAGCTCTCTATAGCCTTTCCACCATGGAAGCCACACTTGCTGCTAGCAGGGAAACAGGACTGGGTTCTAGGGCTCAGATCTATCTGAAGACTTGCATTGACCACAGGGCATCTGCTTGCAAGCCCAGGTCACAGCAAAGCAGTGGGGTTTTATGAGATGGTTCTAAAATCTGTCATGGGAGCTTGGCCTGAGGTCTACTTCTCCTGCTCTCCTAGTGATTCTGTTGAGTGCAAACTCCAGTTCTTTTACTCTTCACAAAACTCAGCTGCAATAAAAACTCACTGGTTCTGCATCTCTCGCAAGGACTTCATGGGAAAGGAGGACTAGGGTCCTCTGTGACTACAGAACAGCCCATACAATCACCTTAGCAAAACACAAAACACACTTTGCACAAGCTGAGCCCTGGGGAAAATCTACACACACTTCGACTGCACAAGCTGTGCCCTGGGGAAATCTAGGCCATGAGCCACCTAAGATCACAGAGCTGCAGGTTAAGGCAGGGTCAGCAAGCTTCTCCTGCAGAGGCCAGAAAGCAAACACTCCAGTTTTAGGGGCCATGTGGTTTCTATTGCAACTGCTGAAGTCTATCCTGCAAAAGCCACTAGGTAGCTAAATAAATGGGCATGGCTGTGTGCCAAGAAAACTGTATTTACTAAAAGTCGTGTTGAGTCAGGATTGTTCCGTGGGTTGCAATTTTTTTAACTGTCCTGTGACACTCCCAGGTTGATATCTCTGGGAGCCATGCGTTGCATCTGAGCTCAGCTCCCCCGTTCAGAGAGTAAGGGAACAGCTTTGGGAAACTGAGGATGGGGGTAGGGGAGCTGGGCAAGACACCAAGGAGGTGTAAGTGTGCAGTGATAAGTGCACGTGGGAAGAGGCAGCCTGGAAACTTGTGGGGCAGAAAATGCGCTGCCTCTGTGGCTCCTGCACCATGAGGAATGGAAGCTGGGAAAATGCCACAGGGAACTGTGCAGCAAAGAGGACCAGGGGGCCCAAGCCACATTAGAGCAGAGAGGAGGAGAAAGCTGACCTCAGACTACAGGTATGCACAAAGGCACACATGGCAGTGGGGGGCCTGGTGCCAAGTTATGGAATGAGAGGGGAAGGGATTGGGTTATCTTGGGAGGATGACACAAGAATCAAACCTGGGCCGGCGCCACGGCTCAATAGGCTAATCCTCCACCTAGCGGCGCCGGCACACCAGGTTCTAGTCCCGGTCGGGGTGCCGGATTCTGTCCCGGTTGCCCCTCTTCCAGGCCAGCTCTCTGCTGTGGCCAGGGAGTGCAGTGGAGGATGGCCCAAGTGCTTGGGCCCTGCACCCCATGGGAGACCAGGAGAAGCACCTGGCTCCTGCCTTTGGATCAGCGCGGTGCACCGGCCGTAGTGTGCCGGGCACAGCGGCCATTGGAGGGTGAACCAACGGCAAAAGGAAGACCTTTGTCTCCCTCTCTCTCTCTCACTGTCCACTCTGCCTGTCAAAAAAAAAAAAAAAAAAAAACACAAAACAAAAAAACAAAACAAAACAAAAAACAAACCTGAAAAGCTATGGACTTGATCTTATATAAACAAAATGTTAATTATAGCCACTGAAAAGAACTCACCCCTTATGACCAGTTACTAAATAAAAGGATTACTTTGGTTATCAGAATCCAAATGTTACTTTACTTTTTTGGTAACTTTTGGTTGCAAAAATAAAAGCCTCCATTACATTTTCTCTCCTAACCGATGTCATTCTGCTCACACAGTGCAAAAACAGAGGTCACATGAAGCAGGAGCAATGGCAATGGGAAGGAGACCTGCACAGGATGATTCAGGGGAGGGCCCCAGGCTGTCTGGTCATCTGCGCACAGGGTGAAGAGCTCCTCAGGCCAGGCTTCAGGTCTGGGAAACAGCAGAGGCTGCGACAGTCAGGGGAGTCAGCGAGGAAACCAGGGGCGGTTTCACTCCCACCACCTCAGTGGGCTAATTCCTGGTATGGATCAACTGGTGTTTAATCAACTTTGACCGCTGGCTGAAGGCTTTCCCGCAAGTAGTGCAGTCGTAGGGTTTCACCCCAGTGTGAATCCTCTGATGCTGGATGAGGACTGAACGCTGGCTGAAGGCTTTCCCACACTCCGTGCATTTATAGGGCCTTTCGCCAGTGTGGATTATCTGATGTTGAATGAGGTGCGAGCTCTGGCTAAAGCCTTTGCCACATTCAACACACATGTAAGGTTTCTCCCCCGTGTGAACTTTCTGGTGGTGAATGAGGTTGGAGCTTCGGTTGAAGGCTTTACCGCACCGGTTACATTCATGGGGTTTCAACCCATTATGAATCCTCTGATGCTGAATGAGGGTTGAGCTCTGGCTGAAAGTCTTCCCACACTCTGTGCATTCATAGGGTTTCTCTCCCGTGTGGACTCGCTGGTGAAGAATGAGGTTGGAGCTGCGACCGAAGGTCTTCCCACACTCACGACACTCGTAGGGCTTGTCACCCGTGTGCACGCCCTGATGCTGAATGAGGGCTGAGCTGTGGCTGAAGGCTTTCCCACAGGTGCTACATGCATACGGCTTCTCTCCTGTGTGGATTATCCGGTGCTTTCTGAGAACAGAGCTGTAACTAAAGGCTTTTCCACACACATTGCATACGTGAGGTTTTTCTCCAGTGTGGATTCTGCGATGTTGAATGAGGCTGGAGCTCTGACTAAATGCTTTCCCACAGTCACTGCACTTATATGGTTTCTCTCCAGTGTGAACCCTGTGGTGCTTAATGAGGTTGGAGATACGACTGAATGGTTTGCCACAGTCATGACACTCGTAAGGTTTCTCTCCAGTGTGAATCCTCTGATGTTTCCTCAGGTGTGCACTCTGGCTAAAGGTCTTCCCACACTCACTACACTCAAAAGGCTTCTCCCCTGTGTGAATCCTGTGGTGTTTAATGAGGTTTGAACTCCGCCTGAAGGCCTTCCCACAGTCAGTGCACACATAAGGTTTCTCCCCCGAGTGGATTCTCTGGTGTTGAATGAGGTTTGAGCTCCGTCTAAAAGCCTTTCCACAGTCATTGCACTCGTAGGGCTTTTCGCTCATGTGAGACTTCTGGTGCTTCTTAAGGCTTGAGTTCTGGCTGAAGGCCTTCCCACAGTCAGTGCACACATGAGGCTTCTCACCACCATGGTGACTCTGATGCCTGGCTAGGTCTGTGTGCTCAGGGGAGGCTTTCCCACACGTGCTGCGCTGACCAGCTTTCTCTCTCATGCGAGACTGGCTGGAGTACTTCCCACATTCACTACACATCAAGGACTTCTCCCCAGTGTGGCCTGTCTGATGCTGAATAAGGTCAGGGTTTCTGCTGAAGGTTTCTCCACACTCATTACATATGAGGGGGCTTTCAGCTGTGGTGACCCCCTCGGGGCCAGGTAGGTCCATGCTGGGCTGGAGGCTCTGGCCACACAAATCTGGGTGCAGCCTTTCTTCTACAGGAACTCCCTGATGATAGGACCTCAGTTTTGGGCTCAGACTGAAGCTTCTGCCCAAACCACTGCAGTCCAGGTCTTTCCCCTCTAAGGAGCTTTTCAACAGAACTTTGGCTGGTGTGAAGTCCCCATCCTGGCACAAGGACTGCACCAGCCTCTCTCCTCCAGGGACTCCCCAGTCTCTTGCTAATGCATCATCACAGAGTTCTGCAAGCCCAGGTGACTGGGAGATATCGTCAGCACAGTTTTCTGACATTTCTACCTCTAATTCCAAATCCTCAGACATGTCTTCCTTCTGAACACACTCCTTCTTCTCAATCCTGGTGACATAATCGGAAACAATAAATACAAAGTAATGAGGGAACTGGAAAACTACGGAGTCTGCAGAGCTCACCTTCTGTGGAGGTGAGGGGAGCAAAATCCATCAGGGACGGCAGCCCTAGATCTTGGAGAGGGACCAGGGAGGGGCTGGGAGAGCGTCTAAGTGACGAGGCCACATGGGAGCCAACGGCAAGGAAGAAGTCTTGATGGATCCTCAGCCTGCACTCCCTGGGACTCCATGTCTCAGGAAACACACCTACAGTTTGCCCACTGGCTCTGGCCCAAACTCTGGGAGCCTCCTGACAGTTATACCTTGGAATGTGCCCCAATCCAGGGGCTTCCCACTCTGCCATCCCATGCAAAGAAAATACCACATCCTTCATGTTATGTTGTCCGGTATTTCCTCTTTTCTTCCCCATATTCAAGGTTTTAGCCTCTCAGGCCCACCTTCCATTCTATCCACACCAGCTAATGACGTTCAGACCTGGTCTTGGGATATGGCAGCGTGGAGACAGCCCACCCCCAGGATGCAGAGGAGTGTTTCTTCCAGAGAGGCATGGCTAGTTCTGATGACTGGCAGGCTGAGAATGGAATGGAGGCACTGCCCAGTTCCTCTGTGCAGCAGAGACCTGTGTGGAATGTCAGACTCTCACCCATTCCACAGAGGAGCCTTCAGAGACTGCTGTGTCTCACCAAGCCCCCCTACAACTCCTAAGCATGTCTGCTCGACTTCTGGCCCTGGTAGCAATGTGTAAGTGGCTGTGTCTTTCTGTGGGTAGAAATACATATAAGGGTCCTTGTGTCAGAGGACAGGTACTGACACTTTCATCTTTTCATGCCCCAAGAACAGGGACCCTGATACCTGGGTCCCTCACCCAAATGCAGATCTTGAATCTCTGCCTTTCATTCAAACTGAGAGATCCTGGGATACCTGCTGCCTGCATGCTGAGTGACTTCCCTCCTGCCACAGACAACCTGGTGACATGAGACCATGGCACTGCAATCACGCTCAGGCACTTCAACAGCCTCCTGTGGACTGCAGGCCCTGTTTCCCTAACAGGACAAATTATGCTCACCTTAAGGCCTACCCTGCACGGAGCATTTCCACACAGCCCTCCTGCTCCCTCCTTCTGGCCTATGTTCAAATGTGGCTCACTGCAGGTCTTCCCTGACTACTGTTTACAAATGCTAGCGTCCTTCACACTCCCTCACTTGACATTGACCCAGGGTTGCATACCCAGGGCTCAAAGGGTGTGAGTGAAGACCACCTCCTCCAGCCATCTTGCCCTTGGGCCTTTACCCTCGTCTCACTCCCTTCTCTCTGGGAGTTCCAGAATCTGCCTCCAGTCTGGAAGTGTCCACTCATGAGCAGCCAGCAGTGGCATCACTGTAAATGTGACCTGGGCACACACCTAGTCTTCAATCTCACAGGTGCAGCCAGCCCCATGCTTGGCACATCCACATCTCTTGGTGTGACAGTCTATGCTCTGGTCACTAATTCCTGTGGCATAAACATACTGAGCTGTGCTGCCTCCAGCTGGAACACCCCTCTGCACACTTCCCAACCCCCAGAGTCTGGAACCAGGCCTTGGCTCTGCTGGAACCGCACATGTTGCCCTGTGAGCACCCCTCATGGACATCTGGGACATGCGGTATCCACATGCTTCTGGGTTCCCAGGGGTAATGGAGCAAAGGGTTAAGAGGGTGCAGGGACAGGTAAGATCTGATGGGAGTTCTCAGCCCTGCCAGGGCTGGGGTGAGGTTTGCTGTGCCTTCCTTCCCCTGCCAAGGCTGACCAGGGTGCCCCTCGGCCTCTTCTGGCTGTGAACAGAAAAGGGACCAAGTCAGAGAAAGCTGAAGAAAGCTGTGCTCAGCCAGACGGGAGTCAGCAGGGCTTTCTGTGAGGCGTGAGGCGCCCAGGACATATCTGGGCTTGGTGGCCTCTATCATATTGTCTGGTATGCTTTTTTTTTTTTTTTAAATCCTTAAAAACCATTCTTCCCTCTATCTCTCTCTCTCACTGTCCACTCTGCCTGTCAAATAAAAAAAAAAAACAACATTCTTAGCCTACCAGTTATTAAAAACAGCCTGCTGGCTAAATTTGGTGAGCCCTGATTGAGATAGGTTTCTGGTGTGGATCAGGAGATGGTTACAATAAAGAATTTTAGTCTGAGCCACTGTCTAGATGAGTCCTATTGAAACAGAAATCAAAAGTAAAAGTTAATTCCTTAAATTTGATGTAATTCTTTTTTGTATCATAAGAACTATAAGTCTTCAGAAAGGAAATGTAAAATCAGAAACATGGTTTCCGTCTAAGAAAATCTTTAAGCAGTCAGTAAAATTTGGGGTTTAGAAGCAAAGAAAACTCAGTTGCTTGCACTATGTTCACTGAACTCAGACATCCAACTGAAAAAAGGATTTTGCCTTTCTAGAACAAAATAAAACTATTAGTCCCTGTAGAAGAAACACCTTTATGGTTAAAACCTTTGATTGGTGGCTCCCAAGTATGGGGGCTGGTGCTGTGGTGCAATAGGTTAATCCTCCGCTTACAGCAACAGCATCACCATATGAGCACCAGTTCTAGTCCTGGCTGCTCCACTTCCCATCTAGCTCTCTGCTATGGCCTGGGAAAGCAGTAGAAGATGGTCAAGCGCTTGGGCCCCTGCACCTGCATAGGAGACCCAGAAGAAGCTCCTGGTTCCAGACTGGCTCAGCTCTGGCCGTTGCGGCCATTTGAGAGTAAACCAGTGGATGGAAGACCTTTCTCTGTCTCTGCCTCTCACTTGCTATAACTCTCTCTCTCTCAAATAAATTAAAAGAAAAAAGAAAAAGGAACTAAGAGGTAAATGTAAACACCTCCTAGTTCCCTAAAAACAAAACAAAAACAAAAACACAACACAACCCACATCTGACTCTGATGCATGAGCTGTTGCCAGCGGCACAGCAGAAACTTCATTCTGGGTTCAGTCACTGAGCCAGCAGTCTTCCATCTCCTGCACTGACTACTGTCCTCATTTTAACAATTTACTGAGGTGAACCCACATGACACAAAATTAGTCACTCTAAAACGATTCAGCAGCCTGTAGTACATGTACAATGCTGTACAGCTATCACTTTTACTCCTAAAACATTCCCCTTACTCCAGAGTAAGATCCTATACTCTCTAGGCAGTTTAACCCCACCTCTCCCATCCCCCATGCCCTGAAAACCACCAAGGTGCACTCTCTGGATTTATTCATTCCTGCATCTTTCTTTTTTTATTTTATTATTTATTTATTTGACAGGTAGAGTTATAGACAGTGAGAGAGACAGACAGAAAGGTCTTCATTTCATTGGTTCACTCCCCAAATGGCCACTATGGCTGGCGCTGCACCAATCCAAAGCCAGTAGCCAGGTGCCTTTCCTGGTCTCCCATGGGGTGCAGGGCCCAAGCACCTGGGCCATCCTCCACTGCTCTCCCGGGCCACAGCAGAGAGCTGGCCTGGAAGAGGAGCGACTCTCCTCTAGCCCGCGACTAGAACCCGGCACTCACATGGGATGCGGAGGACTAACCACATGGGCCACAGCGCCGGCCCCATGCCTGCATCTTTCATAAATGGTCTCATATGTCCTTCTGTGGTGGCTCCACTTGGCACGTTTTGGAGGTTTGTCCACAGTGCAGCCGGTACCAGTACTTCACTTCTTTCTATGGCTAACTCACACTCATTGCATGTCTATTCTATAATTTACCCACCAAACTTCCATCCACAAGGTGCATCTGAGCTAGCTGCACCTTTCCGCTACTGTGCATAGAGCTAAGAATTTGATGTGCAAACACAGATGCTCCTCAGCTTCTGGCCTTAATGTGCTGATAAACTAATCACAAGCTAAAAATATCCAAAGTCAGAAATCATGTAATACACCTAACCTGTTGATCACACAGCTTAGCAATGTAGTGCCCTGAAGAACCTGGTGTTTCCCATGCTATGAAGATGTGGATCAGCAAGAGCTGCAAGTCACTTTGGGTACCAGCATCAGAACAGATGATCATCTGCATAGTGCTAGCTCAGCCAAAGAGCAAAAGTGAACATTCACAGTGTGCTTTTTACTGAATGCTCACTGCCTTTTCAGCATCATAACATTGAAAAAGCATCAGCTGAACCACCGCGAGGTAGGGTACTTGTTCTGAGTACCTGTCAGTTCTTCTGACTGTGTATCCAAATGCTGGGTCACATGGTAATGCTGTGGTTTAAACATCTGAGAAACGGCCAACTTGTTTCCAATGCTGCCTGTGCCATTTTACATTTCCAGCAGCAGTGTGCAAGAGTTCCAACGGCTCACATCCTTGCAAAGCTTTTGTTTTTCTGCTTGCAGATATGTTAGGAGGTGTGAAATGGTAAATCGTTTGGGTTTTGATTTGCATTCCTCTAATGAACTGTTAAGCAAAATCCCATTTGCTTGTCACCTGTATATGTTCTTTGAGGAAATGCTCATACAAGTCGTTTACCTATTTTAATGTATTTTAAATTAAAAAAAATTATTTGAAAAGCAGAGTTACAGAGAGAGGACACACACATAGACACACACACACAAAATCTTCCATCCACTAGTTCACTCCCCAGATAGTCGCAATGGCTGGAGCTGAGCTGATCTGAAGCCAGAAGCCAGGAGCTTCCTCTGAGTCTCCCACATGAGTGCAGAAGCCCAAGCACTTGGGCCATCTTCTACTGCTTTCCCAGGCCATAGCAGAGAGCTGGATCAGAAGAGGAGCCTCCGGAACTAGAATCGGTGCCCATATGGGATGCCGGTGCTTCTGGCCAGGGCTTTAACCCACTGCGCTACAGTGCTGGCCCTATAACATTTTTAAAAATTCTGATGAAGTCCAATTATCAATTTTTTTAAAGATATATTCATTTATTTGAAAGGCAGAGCCACAGCGAGGCAGAGGGAGGGAGGAAGGGAGAGAGAGAGAGAGAGAGAAGTGGGGGAAGAGGGAAAGGGGGAGGGGGAGAGAGAGAAC